TCTCATTGATCTGATAGTATTTTACTTACGTCCCATTCGAGATAGAATTTTGACCTTTACTCGGCACTCAGGGCCATTCTTCATCGTGCCAAGGCCTGCCGTGACACGGAACCTCAATTTTTAAGGTCTCATCCGAAGGACCCGCAACTTCCACTTCAAGTGTCGAGCGCAAGGCGAGGAAACAGTCGCTACCCATTTTTTTTATCGAGTTGGGTCAGTCGCAGCCGAGATTCGAACTCTCGACCTCCCGATCACGGATTAGAAAGTATTATTACACATTATGAAGATATTTGCAACAGTGGTTTAAATGTGTAACTAGATTCTTCAGTGATTCCTAGACTATGATCAAAACCTTGTTTTTAAATGAAAAGATTTGTAATTAGACTTGTTGATGACATAAAGCAAATATGTTCCCCAATATATTATAATTGTTTTTCAAAATGATTAAAATAGATGAAACATATCTAAGGAGAAGGTGACTTCAATATACCCGAAAATAAAATAAGGGAATGACCTATCACAAAATTCAGTAAGGTTAGTAATATCTAATTTTACCCTGAACCAATAAGTGACTCTACTATGGGTAACTTCATTCCTAACACTTTACTACTGAACTTGAAGTTCTTCGGTACGAAGCTTGACGTTCTTGACCCCTAAAGTGAGTTGAGCTGAGTAGCTCTATTTATAAGCAAAGGAATCCAATGAAGTATTACAATAAATGTCTAATGTAGTAAGCCAATAGAACTACAGAATACAATACGTTTGGTGTGACTGACAATATGGCGGGCTCAATGAATCACTTAAACAAGTGGAATATATCAAATACTGATTTTGTACGATTTTTAAAATAACTTCTAAATTAAACTAGAGGAACTTTAAGCACTGAGCTAAATAAAGGATAACCCCGCCCCCCATGCATACGATTATAATGGATGGTTCATTCATTCAATGCTTTGCCCACACCCACAACTTGGCTGCTCAAGAAAGCCTGAAAATTAAGCAAGTTTCTTCACTGCTGGCAAAAATAAGAATAATTGGCACTTTCTTCCACAAATCTACGGTTACAGCATCAACTTTAACAAGTATTCAAACCAGAAGTCTCTGTCGAGACTGAAGCTCTACTGGTTTGTAATTATAGCAAATAAATAGAATAATGATCCTTGATCAAGTCTCTTTATGTTCTTATTGTAGTCTACTTGCATGCCACATTATATTATAATCAGACTAAAACTGTATTTGGAGTAACATTTTGAAATAATTTAACAGAAATTTCTATTTTTAGTAACCACGGCAACACCGTTCATCGAAATCAAAACCGATACACAGAATTATGTATCTTAGTGTAGTCTACTTGTGTGCCAAGTTATACTGAAATCAGACCAAAACTGTAGGAGGAGTAGCATTTTGAAAGAATTTCACAGAAATTTCTATTTTTAGTAACCACGGCAACACCGTTCATTGAAATTTAAAACCCATACACAGAATTATGTATCTTAGTGTAGTCTACTTGTGTGCCAAGTTATATTAAAATCAGACCAAAACTATAGGAGGAGTAGCATTTTGAAAGAATTTCACAGAAATTTCTATTTTTAGTAACCACGGCAACACCGTTCATCGAAATTTAAAACCAATACACAGAATTATGTATCTTAGTGTAGTCTACTTGTGTGCCAAGTTATACTGAAATCAGACCAAAACTGTAGGAGGAGTAGCATTTTGAAAGAATTTCACAGAAATTTCTATTTTTAGTAACCACGGCAACACCGTTCATCGAAATCAAAAACCGATACACAGAATTATGTATCTTAGTGTAGTCTACTTGTGTGCCAAGTTTTACTGAAATCAGACTAAAACTGTAGGAGGAGTAGCATTTTGAAAAATTGTTTACAGACAGACAGACGGACGGACGACGGACGCATTACTATCGCATAAGCTCTTCTGGTCTCTGACCAGTAGAGCTAAAAATGCGGTCATTTCCATGTCTATAACTCAAAATTGATGTTTGTACTCGCTGGAAAGAATGTATGGTTTTAACTTTATCGTGCACTAAAAATTTTATGTTTTGAAAAAGTATTGAAACTGGCTTAAATATATGTTGAGTCACAGGAATCGCGTACCTATCAATTTTGCCGAAATTTTCGGTAATTAAAAAAAGATGCGTAATACCTATAATAATAACACAAGGAGTGCAACTGATGTCCACGACGCCATGGGCGGTCCATTTACCCAAAAGGAACAAAAAAAAAAAAACAATCACACACAATTAACTAGAGATAGCGATTTTACGTTTAGATATATACGAGTACAAGTACTTGTACCTCCCCGTTTTAAATTTTCTTGAATGTCTACTAACTTGTCTCTGGTTTTTTTTCACATATGACCTCAATCATCTAGATTAGCGTTTCAGGCAGTTTTGTTCCTTTTCGGGTAAATGGACGCGCCCGTGACGTCACGTCATGGCGTCGAGGACAACGGATATTTGCACTAGGAGTTCCTCGGATGACTCGTACCTCGCACATAACCTCGGACGTCGACGGTGATCTACCATCTTGCTGATTCAGTCATGTGATCTTATTTGAATTTCTTTCAAATGTCATACATTTGAAATCGGAGTTATTTTGTGGCACACTCAACAGTTTTTTCTTGCTTTCAAAGCCTGTTAACATGAGGACATAATCAAAACCTGTTTACGATAAAGAATTGCATAAATTAAGAAACATTTTCGAAGAACGTTATGCAGAGCGAAATATGAAATGAGTGATAAGGCAGTTTCCGGTGGAGAAATGTAGGGATCTGTTGCGTATTCCTCCACCAATCACATCCGAGGTTTGAATGGAGCGGAGCGGAGTCAGCCGAGGATTGCCGATTGGGATATATGAGCGAAGTTGTGGAGAAATGTCACTGCTACTGCTGTAAAAAATACTTTTGAAATCGTATGCATTAAGAGCCAAAAAGAACGGTCTCTTCCAAAAAGATTGGTTTGTGTTTTATAATTTTAGATTGAAGATTAATTGTGCGACAGCCTTTATATTAAGCGAAGGGTTTCCAGGTGACCTGAAATGCGTTGTGCACTCTCCTTGTGTTATTATTATACGTATTACGTATTTTTTTTTATTTAATAGAAATTTCGGTATAATTGAGGTACGCGAACTCCTGTGGTTGAGTGAGATAGACCAGAAAATAATATGGCATAAAAGGAGTACCAATCTGGAAATATGACGTCATTAATATGATGGAATCCGGCACTTTAAAATAGAAAAAAAATGACTCATTTCAAGGGTAAATTTCCACTAGAAAATAGTGTCCACAGCCGTCGCCCACTTTACATTTTGGATATGTTGTATAAAATGCAATGAAAAATCACACATCTCTTTGTGGGCGATGACTGTGGACAATATTAGCCCCCAACCTCCGCCCTGTACTGAAAATTGATGTCTTCTGCAACTTTTTTTAGAGAATACGGGAAAAAAACACACGTTTATGACGTCACAATTAGCATTTATAAATGCATGTGAGAAAAATAATTTTATGATTTTTCTGGAATTTCAATGATTCAGATAGCATGATTTTTCATATTTTACTTAATAACCAGAAGTCTCTGTCGAGACTGAATCTCTACTGGTTTGTACTTAAAGCAAAGGAAGAGAAAAGTTCTTAAGCAGTTGGGAATTGAAACTTTACCACAACAATAAAAAAAGAATAATGATCCTTGATTAAGTTTCTTTATGTTCTTAGTATAGTCTACTTGCATGCCACATTATATTATATTCAGACTTAAACTGTATTTGGAGTAGCATTCTGAGAGTATTTAACAGAAATTTCTATTTTTAGTAACCAAAGCAATAATGTTCATAAAAGTCAAAAACTGATACATGTATATAGAATTTTGTATCTTAGTGTAGTCTTCTTGTGTGCCAAGTTATATTGAAATCAGACCAAAACTGTAAGAGGAGTAGCATTTTGAAAGAATTTCACAGAAATTTCTATTTTTAGTAACCACAGCAACACCGTTCATCGAAATCAAAAACTGATAGACAGAATTATGTATCTTAGTGTAGTCTACTTGCGTGCCAATTTATACTGAAATCAGACCAAAACTGTAGGAGGAGTAGCATTTTGAAAGAATTTCACAGAAAATTCTACTTTTAGTAACCAGGGCAACACTGTTCATTGAAATCAAAAACTGATATACAGAATTATGTATCTTAGTGTAGTCTACTTGTGTGCCAAGTTATATTGAAATCAAACCAAAACTGTAGGAGGAATAGCATTTTTAAAAATTGTTTACAGACAGACAGACCGACGGACGACGTACGCATTACTATCGCATAAGCTCTTCTGGTCTCTGACCAGTAGAGCTAAAAATTGGAATGCAAATATCTTGTTACTTAAGAGGGAGTTCTTTAACAGAAAAAATAAAATAACATTTTACATGGTTTTTTTCCACACTTTAATTGAAAGCTCTAATTGTTACATAAAGGTGCCTCTGTGGTGTTGTAATTGCTTTTGTTGTTGTTGTTGTTGTTAGGTTTGGAGTTGGTGTTTTAACTGTTGTATTTGCTGTATGGTTTCTTGTTGTAGGGTTTGTTGTTGTGGAGGTTATTGAAGTTTTAGGATATGTTGTTGCTGATATTGTAACATGTTTTGGTGTTTTCCTTTGGGCTAAGGTAATTGTAGTTGAAGCTATAGGAAGAGAAATGTACAGATACTTGAGCCATGATAAGTTCGCTGAAAATTAATGTCAGCGCAATGCTAATTCAAAAGACAACTAATAAACCAAACATTTTAATTAATAAAAAAAAACGCCTCAAATTCTTGTGAAAAATATAGCATATACTAGCTTTAAAACAGTGTTCCATGGTTATTTAATTTTAACACCAATTCCCACTTTCATGCTACTGTTGGATAATTGTGTTTTCTGAATAAAAGTTTGCATCAACAGTAACTGTTATCAACAGTTAAGTTATTTATTTTTACTAACATTTCAATCTTGAAAAGAGAACTCGGAGAATCAACATTTAAATGGAAATTAATGTAACCTGGACAAGACTGGGTGTTGCAAGATTCTGTATGAACCGACACTCCCCGACACGTTTTTCCTCCGTGAGATGGTGAAGGGTTGTTACATTTTCTGGTCCGTATGCTTACTCCCCCTCCACAAGAAACAGTACAGCGAGAAGGGTTTTGCCAACTGGACCAAGCACCATTTACTATAAATTAATTTTTAAGTTCAAGGAAGGATGGTAATAAATTGCAAAGTAGGTTTCGCAACATAAATCATGAATAATATTATTGGTTTTTCTATTTCCATAAATGAAAATCAATGATCTAAATTAGTAAATAAATCCGTGCATTATATAAACTGTTTAGAATATTTAGATAATAAAATTCTGAATTGTCATGTCTCATCATAAAGTTCTTTTCTCACCGTGAAGCGAAGTAAAATTGATCAGAAGATAAATAGAGTAAATGCGTCTATTACCGGACATTCGGGGATCTTCGGACATTTTTTTTTCTCTCCATTTATTACGCTAGTTTATCATTCCTCACGCTTCCGAACGATTTATAGCTAGTTTCATTTCAAATCCGTTCTTTTACATAATGCGTGTGCTTTGTTTACCGTGTTGTGATTCGTCAAAGTGTCACACGTGATTTTTTTTTCTACTTTCACATTTGCCGCCTGACAAAATAAACAAGATCGCGACAAATTAGTCATGTAACCACCCTTTCAGCGGTAAAATAGCACCGCCCAACCAGTTCTTAAATAAAAAAAAAAAAAGAGGGAAATTGATTTTTCTTTAATAGAATGCAAATACTCCATGTTTTTTCATCGATTTGTTGATTAAAATATAAGAAAAATACTGTCCGATTAACCCCAATATTAAATTAATGTTCTGTTTTGTTGCAAGGGTTATTTCGGACAGTTTTTTGACATGTAAAGAGAAGATATTTCTAAACAGAAAAAATATTATTTCAATGAAATAATTTAGTAAAATATGTTTAAAAATAATTGGAAGGATGAACAAAAATTTCATTTAGTTTAATAAAATGTGTATTTAAATAACATGTAGATATACGAGACAGGGAGAGAGATTTAAACCGGAAACATAACGGAACTTTTAAAAACAAAAATGCTATAATCTTATTTGAAAAACACCAAGATACGAGAAAGGAATAGGGAGTTCCTCCTCATTTTTTTTGGAATATTCTTTTGCTTCAAACTTAAATATGAAATTTATTATTTATTAGCCCCCCCCCCCCATCTCTGTAAATATTTAGGATGTTTTGTGATCGATTCCATCCATAACGTATATGTAATTGTGCCTAACCGAACACCCTTCTTGGTTTTTACAGTCACTCCTTAAAGTTTTTGACTCCTTCTAAGGCTTCTTTTGTAGCCCCCTCCCCATGACATTTTTCAAATTAAAAAAAAATATTATACAAAAAAGTGAAAGAGAGAGATGTATTTTATTTTATATCATCAAAACGCAGATCATTTTTCTTACTTCTCATTTACAAAAATATGCCACGTCGGGGAAAAAGCATTAGAAGTCAGTATGACACTGGGGCTTTGCAAGCCGCGGTAAATGCTGTAAAGGACGGTAAATTGCCCTTACGAAATGCCGCAAAATTCTTGAAAGTTCCAAAGTCTACAATTACCAGTCATGTAAATGTGACTGTTGCAGACGGAAGAAGACCGGGAAAACAGCCCGTTTTCCCCAAAGAAGTAGAAAATGAGATGCTGGTAAAATGGGATTTGGGATAACAAGAGCACAACATGCTTTCAAAATAGGACATTTGGCTAATATAATGAAAGTGAGAGTGAAAACCCCATTTAGAAACGGGATCCCAGGAAAAGACTGGGTGGCTGGATATCGAGATATATATTTTCGCACCCCAATCCCACTCAGCAATGTAAGAGCTAGAAGGCTGAATCACGAAGTGACAAATAAATATTTCTCTGGCTTAAGGTTTCGTCAAAGGTCAACATGTCTAAGAAATTATTTTTACACTAGCTCCAAAACTATGTGTGGTATAAAGTCAAAATGTTTACAGTTTATAAATATATCATTTATTAATAGAAAATATCGCTTGATAACATATATTTTTAAAAAGATATTTTCTGAAAAAAATTGTATCAGAAAATGTGCATATTTAAAGAGAAATGCACCTGCTTAATTCCGTCCTTTTGTGAAAACCATCATTGCAGAAATAATAAATGTTTATCATTGAAGGGCAAGTTGGACGTGAATGGTCTTTGATAGGCTGTTATTGAAAGCATGACATGTATAAAGACAACACCCCTGTAAAACCCGCCATTTGCAATGTATTTTCGCTTTCGAGTCCTAACATTTGGACAAAATAAACAGGGAAAATAACTTTCCAGAGGCTATCCAAGTCCAACTTGCCCTTCATTGATAAACATCTTTTGTTTCTGCAATGATGGTTTTCACTAAAAGCACGGAATTTATTAGGCGCATTTTCTGAAAAATATGCATTTTAAAAAAGATTTTTTTCTCAATATTTTTTCCAAGTATTTTTTATCAAGTGGTACTTTCTATCTGTTAATCAATGAAAAATTTTTAAACTGTAAAAGTTTTAACTTTAAACCTCACATAGCTTTGGACAACATGTTGGAGTTATTATATGTTGCCCTTTGACGAAACCTTAAATGACACCCTTTCACAGCTGAATGTACATACATGTACTTACCCGTAACGAATTTGGAATATTAAAGAAACAAATGCCTCTATGACTCACAAGCCATCTAGAGTTTTGGCTGATAATGTGGTATCTGTTTTAGCTTGCGTAAATGCTGCAGGTCAGGACATCCCCCATGGGTATTGTAAAAGGACTGACAGAAAAATCGCTTAATGCGTATAACGTCTCAGGAGCCTTTCAGAATGCAAGTACACATATCAGAAGAAGGCATAGATGGAGGATGTCTTAGGTGTGACTAAAACACTGAAGCCCAGAGAGACCAGTGATTATTATCTTAGACAGTCACAGTTCGTATGAGACTTTTGGGCTTATTACAGTGGTGCGGGAAAAATTACTCTCTTTGCATTGCCCCCTCATACCACTCAATACCTTAATCCTTTGCACTCGGAGGAAAGGGAACTGGCCAAGAGACAAATCATGGTTTGTAGTGAGAGGCAATGTCCCGCGTTGTCCGATAATAGACGCATTTACTCTACATCTACTATATGTTGATTTTTAGGTCACCTGAGTAATGTCGGGTCGGTCTAGTCTCGTTGTTGGTAGAAAATATTATTAAAAATTGAATTATATAGATCAAATGTAAGAATATATTTGGATAAAAGTTAAAAAATAAACAAATATGGAAGACATTCATTCTCCCTCTCTCAAAAATACTGAGTATACTCATTAAATCTTATTTTATATCCAATATGTCAACTTCTAGTAAGTTAGATTCTGGAAAAGACTGTAAGACAAAGCAATTATTTTTGTTATATCTTTCGTGTAGGATTATCAATAAAATAATTCAGAAAAGAAAACGAGATTTTTAGGCATATCATTTATACCTGAGAATTCATACCTGGACATAAGTGAGTGTTACAAGAGACAGTTTCCATTGATTTTCCATAGCATCCTTGTCCTCCAAGAAAAGGAATAGGACAGATACAGGTTCGGTATTTTGTTTTCATGCCCCCTCCACAAGATTTACTACACGGACTACTACTCCAAGAACTCCAGGAACCTATAAAAACCAATATTTTTAAACAGTTAGTAGAACAAGAAATCTGTGAGCCAATGCCCACTAGTAATACCCCCGCTCTGATGTGAATATACAATGAATATGTTAATATACACGCTAAGTTCAGTTACGGGTAGATGCACGGATAAATAGGAAATTGTCATCAGATTCACATAAAAACAAATCCAACCATATGGCATGCCTCAACAAAGTATGTGCTTAAATTTCAAGCATCTGTAATGATAAGCTGCTGAGAAAGCTGAAAAAATTGTTATGTACGAAACGGACAGATGCATGGATAAACAGAAAGTTGTCATCAAATAAGAACACAAATGAATCCCACCATATGGTATGCTTTAGCAAAGCGTGTACTAAAATTTCAAGCATCTGCGATAAGTAGTTAATGTGAAAACTGCGGCCAAGAGACGGACAGAGGCACGGATAAACAGGAAAATAATATCGGATTTAAACAAAAATGAATCCCACAAACTGCATGCCTAAGAGAAGATTGTGTTCAAATTTGAAGCATTTGCGATGAGTAGTTGCAGGGAAAACTGCGACCAAAATTTGTTATGTACGAGACGGACAGACGCACGGATAAACAGAAAGTTGACTTCATGATTTGAACAAAAATGAATCCCACCATATGGCATGCCTCAAAGAAGATTGTATTAAAGTTTCAAGCATCTGCGATGAGTAGTTGCTGAGAAAATTTGTTACGGACAGACACACAAACTCAGAAGACACACAAGGGTAAAACAGTATTATACCCCCCTCTCCTTTGGAGCGGGGGTATAATTATGCGTTTAATCTTTGGAATAGGTAAAGAACAAGGTACAATTTCAATACAAATATTACCTTGTGATTTAAAAAAAAAATGAAACTGATGTAAAAAAAAAAATTAAAACTCGTGCTTTCTGAATTATTGAAATTCCATGCAGAAGAATCATACAAATTATTTTTCTAACATGCATTTATAAATGCTTATTGTGACGTCAAAAACATGTGCATTTTTCCGCATTTTCTAAAAAAAAAAGTTGCAATACTGTAGTGAATATATAAAAGTGAACTAAGGTTAAGATTTAAAAGCAACAGGAGCGATCGAAAAAGACCCAAAACACAGCGTTAAATGCAGTTATCTATTAGTTTTAAAAGGTCAAAGGCTTCTTGAGATATTGCGTGGAAACGAAACGTTACAGACAGACAGGACTACAGACGGACAGACAGAACGAAATTATTATCCTCCACTTACAGAATAAAAAATGCGGAAAACTGAGTGAGAAGGGCTGACAGAGGGACAGCTAGACAGACGAACGGACAGACGCAGAGGAAACTTATATAGTCCTCCGATTTCACCCATAGGGGGCTGGTAATGGACTTTTGCGAGCAGCGCTGACTTTTACTGTTGACGGCTTACTTTTATACTTGGACAATGTATGGAAGCTCTTTTACGATATAAATGTTTACATGTAGCTCAAAGTTTACTTCAACGAAAATAACGGGTTATTTCAGTGCACATATAATTGATTGACTGATTTTCTGTTGTTTTACGTCCCTCTCGAGCATTGCCGGTGGTGAGATGCAAATTATTTCCTATACTCTGCATGCAGGGCCATTGAGCAGGGAAGGATCTATTATCGTGCCAGCACCTACTGCGACACGGGACCTCGGTTTATACGGTCGCATCCGAAGGACCGGTCTCCACGTCCCACAGTGAGAATCGAACCCGCGACGTAATCAATTCACATATCAGTTATCCTTGAAGAAAACGACAATCAGCTACCCTCAACTCCCGGCCTTTATATTTAAAGTGCCCCTTACATCATACGTATGACCATTAGAAATGTTTTCTTATCTATTATCAATGTTTAAATGTCCCAGTAAACAGTCAACTGTAAAAATCAGTGCTTCTCGCAAAAGTTCAATTAGAAAATGCAAATGAATGCTGAACAATCTTGATTTTTGCATGTTTGTTAATTTAATGTGACAGTTTTCTTTTAATTCTTAAAATTTGGATTATTTGGAAACAAACTTACGTCAACGAAGGTTATCAAATTAAGCAAAGTTTATCTTTTATGCATTTTTCCCAAAATGTTTTGTAAATTGTTTGATAATGTGTTCCGGTTTGTGTTTCACATTCAGTAAGTGAAAAATTTCAACAAACATGAGTGTAACACCGTAAAAAGTACAGCTTTGGTACACACTCAGAAAACACAACTGCACACGAGTTAACGCAACAGTCAACTGATTTATCTTTAAAACTCTAACGTCACAAAACGAAATAAAACTAATTTTTATGAATAGAAATTTTAAGGTTTACAAAACGCAAAGCATGAAGCAGTTTCTACCTGGTCTTGGAGGACAATGATAACCATTACACGGAGATTCCTCGTGACCATAATATGGACATACGGGTACTTCTTTGAATCCTATGCGACATCCTCTGTATCTGACATAGACGCCGGAACCACAGGCAGAAGAACAGCTACTCCAAGGCGACCAAGCATGCATTTGGTACCAAGGATCTATAGAAAAATTATAGACAAAGACTTGGACACATAAAGAAAAAAAAGAACAAATTTATAAACCAAAAAGAAACAAACATCAATAATCAGTTGAAAATCTGACATTGTCATTTTTTTTTTTATATTTTATAATAAAGAATTTGTTATAATTGGCTTAAATCTTAATTTATTAGACCTTCAAAAACAAAATTAAAAACTGCTTACGAAACTGCTTTTGAAATTCATCGCCAGCTTTTGCTGTAAAGTAATTTTAAAGATAATATATATAATTAACGACATGATAATCAACAAAGGAAAACAATCCTGAAATCTTTCGCATTTTTATCCTTCTTATGTTTAAAGCTATATATATATCTTCATAAATACATTTAAAAGCGAAAATATGTCCGTTCAAATATGACTTTTCTAAAACATATAGTTTAAAAACATTGATAAGTTATGACTTTTTAAAAATAAATTAAATAATTTTATAGTCTTTCATTCCTTTAAATGATTAAAATGCTTAAGATTTGCTTTTCTCACTTTCTAAAGACCACCAGATTCTAAATTGAGAGGAATTTCCAAAAATGAATAAAAACGTTCATCTTACCAAAAATTTGAAGAAAGAGAACATATATCAAAACCGAGAAGGCCGACATGGCAGTTAACGTGCCTTATCTGCAAAACAGATACGTTCTTTCATTATATTATATTGGATAGAGTCATTATTTCAGTCATCTTTGTTTTTATTGGTTACTTGGTGTGGATATTCCATAAGGCTGACTAGGAATTAATTCTATGTTTTACATAATCTACAAAATTGAAAACTTACGATGGCGGGAGAGAAAAAAATATCCAAACCAAAATTTGAAACACCCGAGTATTAAATATTTTTATGTAAATCAAAATACCGTTCATGTTTCTACATAATGTACGCTCATTATTTGTTTAACGACCATTTTCAGTAAATCTGTCCGTATAAATGATAGACTGATCTTAATACCTCAAACACAAGTTACTCCTGTCCTTTCCTTTGAAATGCATCTTTCCAGTAGATAAAAGTAAACAAGTTCGACAAAGTTAAAATACCAAAATACATATATATTTTGGTTTATTTTCTGTCAGTGTCCTTGAATTTGCACAAATGACCTTGGGTCAAAGTCATGACACATCGTCATAAGCAATCTTTGTGTAAAACAAGAACCCTCCAAGTTTATCCATAAGAAAGATGTGGACCAGGCACACAGGCACTTTTTTCTTTCAGTGACATTTTGCACAAATTACCTTTCAGTGACATTAAACAAACTTTGTATAAAACAAGAACCCTCCAAGTTAATTCATAAGAAAGATATGGATCGGACATGAATTATAAACTTTTTCTTTCAGTGACCTTGAATTTAAATGACCTTGGCTCAAGATCATAAAACACCCTCAGGTCATAAGCAATCTTTTTGTGAAGTAGTAGATTCAAGTTTTTTTTCATAAGAAAAATCTTGCACAAATGACCTTGGGTCAAGGTCATAACGCACCCTTAGGTCATGAGGGCAATCTTTGCGTGAAAGTTTATCATTGAGGAAGATGGACCGGACACGACAGATTTCCTTCAGTGACCTTGAACTTCCTCAAATGACCTTGGGTCAAGGTTATGACAAACCGTTAGTTCATGAGCAATCTTTGTGTGAAGCAGTAGATTCTAATCTTCCACGTGCACCGTAAGAAAGATATGGACCGGACACGTTTGCACAGACAGAAAGACAGACGGACAAGGTGATTCCTATATACGCCCCGAAACTTCGTTTGCAGGGGGTATGATGAAAGAAAAATTTACCACATAAATTGCGGCCATGAATGAGGCACCGGTTTGTTATGTATGTGCAATGTACATACAACTCAACGCATTTTTTTAAACTCGCATAGTTTTTCGCACAAATTAATGTCTTTTTCTGAATGATATTACCCAAGTGTGAAGAGTTACCGTTCTTTGTACAAAGATGCAAAAATATGATACAAAAAAAAAAATTAAAATATGGCATTTCTCTACAACTTTTAAAAAGTTTTATTTTACAATTTTACAAAATTTTAACTTTTTAAAGATATACAATTTTAAATATTCTGAATTTCTTTTTTTCCAAAATTTTAACTTTTCATATACAGATATTTATCAGTCTCATAATTGTAGTAAAACTTGTAAGTTACTCGAGTGAGATGTAGCAGTTGCATCCATAGCAGAAGCAATTGCGTCTATAGTCCTATGAACGCAGTTGCTGACTGCATGTTTATAGTGGGAAAGCAGTGAGTATGCAAATATATAAATTTGACTGATGCTGATGATTGAATATTGATCTGATTTGATATATGAATTTGATTGATGTTGATGATTGAAGATTGATTTGATTTTATATAGCAGGGGGCAAAATTGGCCACCTTCACTTGGTATTGATGGCGGATGTTCCATGAGATGAGATCTCATGGAACATTTGGCAGAATTTTTTCAAAGAATTCCATCTCCGGGGGCACTGTTTTTTTTTCCAGGTCCCTCGGGCCAAGATGGTAGTTCTACTGCTTGTGTATATGTTTGTGTGTATGCTGCCATATCTTTGTATGATCGGCGCATAATTTGTTATTGATATTAGTTGAATTATTTGCAATAAACGGCCACGACAAGCTCGCCAAACAATAAGTATAGTTTCTATGAATATCTAAAGGAATTACAGGTATGACCTTCCATGCTTCATGCACTATCTACGCATAGATTTACATGCATATTATAGGTACATTTCTATTTAGGTTGAATATTCACAGTCTCGAAATAATCGAATTTAAACAAAATAACAATTTTCAATATTTGAAAGGAATTCAAAATGGAGCAATAAATTGGACGGTTGAAGTTGTTTTTCGAATTACTACAGTAATAATAACTATTTTAATTATTAAATAGTTGATGTTTTATCCGAACCTAAATGAGATTTTTTTTAAAAAAACTATTCCACGGTTTCTAAGTTTATTTTTAACTTTCAGCTTGAAAATATAATTATATACTTCACCTAGAATATTTCGCCTTCGACAGATGTTCACTTTTAACAATGAAAGAAGCATTTGTTTTTACTTCTACTCAATAAACGATTAATTATTCGAATTATTACAAGGCAGAAAAACGAAATCATACAAAATATTTTAGAACTTTCGACTAAAGAGGTTCTTGTGTGACGAAGCCTTTGAAAGTGTTTTGAGAAGTGCACTTCATTATTTAGAAATGTCGTTCAAAGTACGTTCAGTCTTCACGAGGTCTGGAATGGTCGGTGATTTGTTAAATTGTATTTTATGCAATAAAAAATCAAAAACAGTACTGTACAAGGATATTAAAATTCATCAACATGGAACGATATATTTTCAGTATTTTCATGCTGTATTTAAAGATCGCTAGAGGTAAGTGTTTCAAGTCAATACCATTCTACCTGTTTCTTTCAGCCTTTTCATTTAAAAAAAATCTAGTGAAACTTTTTTATTTGAACAATGTAATTTATTTTTTGCTTCTTTAATTCCTTTTATATTATTTCATTATGTAAATGTATTCCATTCATGTTTAGAGACAATACATCCAACCGAATTAAACAAAAGCTGTAGTTAGTTCATGTGTAAAGATCATGTTATACCTCTTACATCTTTAATTCCTTTTACTTTGACGAAGAAACTTAAGTTTCAAGTTTCTGTTTCCGGACATGAAGAGCCTCAATCGAGAAACAAAATATATTAAAACTACAAGTAATTAGAAAAAAACTGGCGAAGATAGACTCAAGCAATTATTTCGAAATACCTAATTTCATTAAATATTGTAAGATTTTATGTCTTTAAAAAAGAAAAACCCTAGAAAAGAAGGTCTTTGTCTCTCTTTCTCTCACTTAGGTGATCTATTGCTTTCTGTTTTCGTGTGTCATCGTGCTATGTGTGTTAACATTTAATAATTTTCGGCTTCTTCTCTGGACACATAATTTTCGGCTTCTTTTCTGGACGCACTGGTTCATTTTTAAAACAAATGTGGCATTAAGCGTCTATGGGCGGAAAGGAACAAAAATTGTTAAATACATGTCTCCAGCCCCCTGAGGGATGGGATTAAAACCACAAAAATTACTTTTATCCTAAAAATCTTTCCTCTTTACTCATGGACATCAAGCAGTCATACTGTTGGAATAATTATAATAAGCACAGAGTTCTGTATCAAAATTGTGGAATGCATGGCCCTAAGATTAGGGCTTCTGTTGTTAGGACAGGGCTATGTTGATTATATAGTGAAAATGCATGAATTCTTTGAAAATCTTTTATTATGCTCCTGGTTAATAAGCAAACTTTATGTATAGTTATGAAGAGGTAGGGTAATAAGCATAGAGTTCTGTATCAAAATTGTGGAATGCATGGTCCTAAGATTTGGGCTTCTGATGTAAGGATAGGGCTGTGTTGATTATGTATTGAAAATGCATGAATTCTTTTAAAATCTTCTATTATGCTCCTAGTTAATAAACAAACTTCATGTATAGTTATGAAGAGGAAGGGTACCTCTTCCATAATTGTACATTTCAAGGGTCAGGGGTTCTCGTATAAGGATGGAACTGTTTTGATTATATAGTAAAATGCATTACCGGTAATTCTTTGAAAATCTTCTCTGTTCCTGGTTGTGAAGGATAAATGGTTTTCATATAGCCCTTTAAGTTGCTCCCTGCGAAATTTAACATCCAATAATTAAAAATACAATGCAATCCATTCAGACAAAAATCCATTTTTTAAATTTTTTTATAAATCAAGACTAAATTCAATTTTTTCATACAAAGTGTCGAGGTTTTCTTTTCTATGTTTAAACTTTAGCCTGGGGGTAATCTCAGAACTTGCAGTTTTTTAGAATTATATCGCCAGTTGAAAGAATGGGGTGACTTTTATGATCAAAATTTGTCCGTTTTGACGTTAGGTTTTAATTCTCTGTAATGATTTGAAATTTTATAAACTTTTCACATTTTCAAACTCTCTATGATAAAAGTCATTGATACCCTAAACTGAAATCAGGCAAAAATTGGTTGCTATGTTTTATAGTTACCATGGCAACATGTCTTAAAGTTCGAAAAATTGCATTTTTTAACATGTATCCATAGTTAACATTTGCGGCAAAGCAAACAATTGGCAATGACTGTTTCTAAAAAAGGTTTGTTCAAATGCATGATAAACATGTTTGGTAAATCAACTATTTACATTACTATGGTAACAAATTATTCAAAAGTAAAAAAAAAATTAATTGCATTTTATAAAGTCAACACGTAAAAATTAAAAGCAATTATAGATGAAATGTGACCAAATAATAGAAAAAAGAGCCTTGAAACATATAACAAGAACAAAATATGATATTTCATTTTGGTTGGCAATGGTTGCCAAGGTTTTTAAACCACAGAGAGCCTTCAAAGTAACACTCCGTATGTTTAAATCTGATCCTATCTTTTAAAAATTCACATTTCCTCATAACTAATGATCAATTTTTAAAGATGTTGGGTGCCAAAATTTCCATTTGAAAAAAATCAAATTTTTAAAAAGACGTTGCTATGGAATATATAGAAAATATATCTTTGAAAAATATTTTTTTTCCTTGGAAAACCCTGAAATGTAGATTCCCAAAAATGATTGATATTTATTAACAGCTAACCTGACTTTTAATTTGGACTATCATCCAATCTCAAGTGGATGTAGATTGGCACACAGGGTTTAATTTGATATAAAGTTCACAAAATGACATTTTCCCTTCTTGGTAACCATAGCAACAGTGTTTTTTTCTTTATCAAATTTTATCAATATATGATATTCAACTTTAGTTCTAACATAAAGTTTCAAGCTGAAATTTGTTTCTTGATTAAATGGCAATTTACATTTAATGCAGCGAAAAATGAAATCTCTTTTAATGTCCAAATTAACACTCAAAGTAGCAATTATACCCAATTTTTCTTAAGTTTTTGTTGCAAGGTCCTAAGAATGCATATTTGCCAGTCTTAAATTTTCATGTCTTTCCTCAAAATAGCATTAACCGAATCTTAAAGTTTTGCATGGTTACAATATATGGCAACCATAAAAGTTTTTATAGAATAATATTGCTTTACTTAATACCTTCAAACATTTTCATTGTTTTTATTAAGTAATATTTATATGGTAAACCTATCATTAGTGTAATGTATATTTAGCTTTTAAATGTTCCAAATGTACCCTTGGTTATTACCACTTACTTGGGAGATATATTCTAAACAGTTTCTTTACAGTATAAGTGACATCAAGGTGTCACGTTTATCTGAGAATGTGTTTTTTTTCTAGTTTTTACTAAGCCACAGTCAAGATTTAAAGTGGCTGAAAATCTCTTTTTTCAAACTTTTCCGGCTGTTGCCATAGCAACCGAGACACATAGTAACATTTTTTTGATGATTGTTTCTAGTGTCAAATACTAGCATGGGCGAAGATTCATCAAAATCGGTGACCATGCGTCGAAGTTTTTGGTTACAGAGAATGGCTATTAAATGTTGACTTGTCTATAAAGAACATTTTATCATTTCCAAACTAATTTTATCGATGTCAACAACTTGAAACACATTGAATGTCAGTTCTTCAAAGACTAGGAAAATTTACAGTTACTGCATTAGCGGAATTTCTATTTAAATGAACTTGGAATCCTCCTGTAGATGTTAGGAAATTTCTTTTTTAAAAAAAATCAAGACAACTCTCAGACTTTGATTTTCTATACAAAAATCTTAGGGAAACTTGAGCTTAGGTAGAAAGCCTTTAGATAACAGTATTTTGAGATATATTTCGGAAAATGTAGATTGATTGATTGATTGTATACTGTTTAACGTCCCTCTCCAGAATATTTAACTGATATGGAGACGTCAGCATTACCGGTGAAGGGCTGCAAATTTAGGCCTATGCTCGGCACTCGGGGCCTTTGAGCAGGGAGGGATCTTTATCGTGCCACACCTGCTGTGACACGGGGCCTGTTTATACGGAACCGCCCCATTTAGTCGCCTTTTACGACAAGATATTAGTATTTTGACCCGGATATATTGGGGAAAATGTAGAACATTTTAAAATAATTTAAATTTTAGTTGTAACACGTCAATTGATTGGTATAACCATTTTTTGGTTTTATCCATTTTGTATAACATAACTTGCCTACGTCACAATGAGTGTTACATCAAAAACATATTACTCCGCTTGATGTTAAAATTTAAAATATGCTAAATTTGAAGCCTTTTTCCGGAGGAAAAATTGTCTCATTGTCTACACTGAAATTCAATTTAAAGGAATATAGCTTATTTCAACTTTTGCTATACGACATTTGGGGGTTTATTAAAAAAAAAGTAAAATGCCTCAAGTTATGTTATATCGTATAACAAAAGTTGGAATAAGCATTATTCCTTAATGACAATGAAGTCTTTGAGAACGATTCATAAAAATTATTGCAGTAGTCTGGAATTCAGGAAAAAGAGATTAAAAGACAATCTTATATTTAAACATATTACGTAGAAAACCTTAGATATATAGGCCTGTACATGTTACAAAATAATTTTTATTATTTCTTCAATTTTTTTTTTAGTTCAGTTGCTATTTTTAGTAACAGCCAATAATTCATTTTGGTCAATAATGGGAAAATGCAAAAAAGTTGGTGTAAAAATGACAATTTCAATATTTAAAAGTTTGCAAAAAAACAATATAAAAATAATACTGACTACAAATGGTATAAAAATTTTTTGAAAAATGTAAAATTTTGGACTCTGAAGGACGAAAGTAATACCATATGAAATACCTCAAATTCAAATGAAGGAAAAAAGATTTTATAAATTTAAATTTTAAGGAATATATTAATGTTGGTAAAATTTACAAATATAAACAAATAAAATTATTTTCAAATTTTGCTATAAATAGATTTGTGAAAAAAAAACGTATTTAACTATTTATTTAGATTTTGACAAGTTTAAGAGAAGGGTAATGAATGTTTGTTAATCGTTTTAGGCATAAACAATGGTGAAAATTTCCTTTTGTGAATGTAATTTGTTAGTAATATACTAGTGGCCTATGTATTACATTAAAAAAATTATGAAATCTTATATTTAGACATCGGCTGGATATATAGAAAAAGGGAAAGCAAAAAAAAAAATGTTTATTTTTGCTTGGGTTGTTTCTATTTTTAGTCATTTTTCAATATTCAAGGGAAAAGGTGTAAAAATGACAATTTCAATATTTAAAAGTAAAAAAGAAAAAAACAATATAAAAATAAAGGTCACCTAAGTCGTAAAATTAAGTTGGAATCAAGGCTGTGATATTGGCATGGTATGATAATGGTTCATTTTTTGTCAAATTTAGGATATATTTCTTAGAAAGTGACCGTCGTTGTTAAATTTTATGCATTTAAGAATCTCTAGGATATTATCCAAACAATATGTAAAATCCACCTTTGGACTCTCAAGGACGGGAAAGTAATATCGTAATGAAATTACAAATTCAAATTGGAAAAATTCATGATTTTATAAATTTAAATTTTAACGGTAATTTTAATGAATTTTGTGTAAAATATTCACAAATATAAACAAATAAAATTATTTTCAAATTTATTATAAAATTTTTTTCTGCTTTTCCTGTGAAAAAAAAACATCTAAGCAATCAAACTGTTGGCAGAGAATGTAATGATTATTGAGTCATCTACTAATCGTTTTAGGCATAAATCATATTGCTTTGAAGAAAATTGTCCTTTCCTGTGAATGTAATTTGTTACGTAATATACTAGTGGCCTATGTATAAAATACATTTAAAAAATTATGAAATCCATCGGGATCGATATATTAATCACATGTAAAAATGGCATCTTATTTACTCCTCAAAAAAAGATTCAGGTGCGTGAATTGTCTGTCTTCAGATTCTGGCTATCTGATTATATGAAATGATTCTGAAGTGAACATTCAGTTATGGTAGCGAGACGGATGTAATGATGGTCCCGTGATGATGATACCGAATCAAAATTTTTGAATTTTAGTTGGATCTAGGTTTATAATACTATGTCTTATAAAAAGGGATATGTTCTGGTGTGTAGGGAGGGACAATATCAGGTCTGGTACAATATATATAGCTTGAAAATGCATTTATTCTTTCAAAATCTTATTCTCTGCTAATTTATTTCTATAAAAAAACGACCTAAGCTAAATCTAGTGATTGTACTATGAATATATATGCAAACCTGCAAAGTTGGTACATATACATATAGCAACAAAAATATCTCATAAATTCAACAATATTGCAAAATATTTATGGCCCAAGGATCAGGGGCCTTTGTGGGGTGATGAAGGGAATGAAAAGTTGAATAGGTCCAGGGTTTTCAAAGATTATATAATGAAAAGCATTTATTCTATCAATTAAATCTTATTCTCAGATGCTTACATGGTATTAAATCTCATTTAACCAAAACTACATATTTAACTATGTTATGAAATGGCTACATTTATGATTTTGGCTCTTATTAAAATTGAGAGAATTTTATGTCAAATACTTGTGCAGACTCAGACTTTTCTAAAGTGCTAGACAGGTTTGTGTTTAAAACAACTAATTTATTATATAGTCTGAAAATGCATTTAAAGAAATCTTATATTTCTCTTGGCAATTTCAGGGTATTCAAATTCATTTCCCTGGTTAGGGCTGGGCTTTACAATGGGATTTCAGCTGTGGAGCTTAAAAATTACTACATATGGTTTCCAATGTAGTTTTGTAATGAGAAGAGGAGAGACAATGCAGCAAAACCATTACCAATTACTTCCCACTGTCTGAGAAAATGGTAAAGGTTATATCTTATCTAAAAATCTTAGGATGGGGTCTAGTATGGTTTATTTCAATTTTATACTTCCTTCTTTGTACATGCTTCCTGTGTACTTTTGTGTATTAAGTTCTTCTTTACCAATGAAATTTCAGTGCTTGTTCAATTTCTCCAGAAGTTATTGATGCTACATGAGTGCCTCTTTCAAAATTGTGATAGATTTTGAAAGCTTGAGACCCAAGATCAACCCAAATGGTGTACCAAACATGAAGACAGTTTATGATTGAAGAAGCTTGTAGTTGCCAAAATTTCAGGGTTCTATGTTAGATTATATATGTACTGAAACATTTATTGATATTCTAATATGTAAAATCTTCTTCTACACAAAAATTCAGAGTAAATTTTAAGTGATATTAAATAAACAAGTTCAAGAACATAGTGATATAAGCTATTATAAAGATTTCCTGTGATTTTTCCAAAATTTGAATGATTTAATTAGGCCAGTAAATTTTTTTAAAGCATACAAAATTTCTAGGTCATTTTAATTTTGGTGTATAGGAAGCAGTCAAGCATTGTAATTTTTTGTTATTGAATACAATAATTATTGAAAATCTCAAATTTTAATCTGGGCAATGAAATTAAAATATATATAAATGTTATAATTTGTTAATTTACTTGGTGTTCGAATTCATTCATTTTGAGTTTGTTGCCATGACAATATGTCCCCCAAGAAAATGGCTATGATATTCCTTTTTGTTCAGTTTGGGGGGACCTTTACATTGTGACCTGAAAATAAATTAATTCTTTGAAATCTGCTCTTTGATGTCATTAAAGCAACCATTTTATGATAAAATTTGCAAAATTTTGAAATGACCTTGTGAACTCCAAATTAAAAGGGATCAGTGGTACCTTACTATGTTTATTTATCAAAACTGTTTTTTTTTTTAAAGATGGAAGACACATTTTCTACTGATTGTTACTGTGAATATCACCCTGCTCAAAGAATATTATAATAAATAGATTAATCATTTAACCCCTAAGTTTATAATTATGAAAACAAAAATGTACATATGGTGAATTTAAATTTTTCAATATTTAAAAGCAAAATGAATTGTGAATTTCATGGAAAAATTTGAAAATTCACAAAAAAACCAACTTTTAAAAAGTACAGCAAAATGTTTGAAAGTCCAAAGACAGATTTTTTATATAATTGTTAATGAAAGTTGTTACCCAATACTTTCTGAGTTATAGGTATTTGAAAAGTGACAGTTTTTAAATGCCCATTTGTGACCTTTTTGCACTTCAGTAGTGATTATGAAAAATTTTCTGAAACAAGTCTTTTTCAGAAATATATGGATATTTTATATCATTAAAAAGTAAAATGCTGAATTTTTAAATATAAAATTCTATAAAATTCATAAAACCCTGCCTAAGGACCAAGAATTCTATTTTTAGTAACAGTGTCTATTTAACCCCTAAAGTGAGACCACACTGAAAAAAAATTTGTGGCAAAATATTTCATATTATAGAAGAAATTTACACACAAAACATGAAGTTGATCAGAGAACAACCTTGCTCCCATAACCTTTTGCATGGTTTTCGCGTAGACGCCGCATATTTATAGCTTCCTTAATTACATGTTAAACATTTAAATTTTTTTCTGTTCACTTCTGAACTCCAAGCGCACGAATAATGCACTATGAAAGTGAAAGTGCCATATTTGTTTGCGGACAGACAGGAAATAATGACTACAAATGGTATAAAAAAAAAAGTAGGGGAGGATCGTGTCACCATTGGCAAGAAGGGAAGTAAGTGAAAGGAATATATCATGTTGGTTTTGTGAATCAATGGCAACCTGAGTGCCTATTTATAAAGACAAGTATAAGACAAAATTTTGAAGCCTTGTCACCGCCTAAAATTGCAAGACATCGGCTGGTATGCATGTGAAAAGGAAAGCAAAATTCAAACAAAATGGTGGTAAAAAAATTCTAGGAATAGAATATGAGAATGGACGGTTAAAAAAAAATATATGGCAAACCCTCATGAACATTATCAATATTTAAAATGAAGAAATATTATAGCAGCGATATGAAGATCACTTTTCTCTTTCATTTATAATTTTACTGTACAGTAGCATTTGATTAACGTTAAAAAGATGACTGATCAGTTGATTGTGCAATCCACTGCGGGATTTATACATTTATATTTCTGATAGACGACCAGTACATACATGTACATTTATACTCTTGATTGAAGACGATCTTACCATGACGCTGAAGGAACTGCCTTGAAATATTGCAACGTATTAATACAAAGAAAAATGGGGGATGTTATAGTTTATTTACATATTTACACAAAATTTCACAGAAAATTTATATCCATTATTTAGGACATCACATTCTCACAGAATGGTCATTACGTCAGTGCTTCTACTTAAAGCGCCTAACTCTCATCCATCTGTATGAAATCCAAAAGCTGAACTCAAATCTCACATGTAATAACTCCGGTTTCTAGGAAAAGTAATAAGGCACCGATATGGAGCCATCTCAACGAAAAATATAAACAGACATGAGATATGGGTGATGACAAACTTCATTTACCCGTTTAAATTACAGTAAAAAGTAATGAATGACCAGAAAGCATGTTTGAAAGATACCAAAAGTAAATGGAATTATAGTGAGACCCTTTTAAAATTTTCATAAAATATATTGTAAAAAAAATTGAATAGGTGATTCATAAAAAAGATAAAGACATGGACATTTAAAATGAAATTTGAATTAAATTTAAAATATTAAAAATACGTGTACTACAAACAATTTTTCAGTGGTTTTTACGGCGTTCTTGTATATTGGCCCAAAATGGATAACTGTGGAGGGAGAAGTTTACATGGATACATGAATTCAATACCATTTATTAAATTGAAAAAAAATCCAGTTAATGGGTATCCATTTGGAACTAATACAATAATATAACTGCACTTTTCAGTTGACTGCTACAGGAATACCTTAGGACGGTTTTATACAGGCAAAGTGAACGTGACAATCTCTGGTCGAATTTGCCAGCCCTGGGGTTCACAGGTTCCACATAATCATAAGTTTGGCTGGCTTTATACTGAGGAGAACTATTGTCGTAATCCGGACGACGAATCAGTGGGCCCGTGGTGCTACACTATGGACAAAGAGAAGCGGTGGGAAAGCTGTGGCATTCAATTATGCAGTAAATATTTATATACCTATATTTTTCTGTTAACACTGTACATGTGTTTTAAAGCAAGTTTCCTTTTACGAATTCATCCTCTTTGAGTCAGTCATCAAAGTTGTTAAAGTGGTCTTTTGCTCTCTATTTCTGTCGTTTGTTTATTTGTCGTACGTAGTTTTGTTTCACACAAACCTTGAAGAACATTTTTCCAAAATTTCCACTGACTTATTGCATTTGAGTTTAAACAAAAGAGAACATATCTAAATCACTATGATATTTTGCGCTGTGTTTCCGTCTGTTGTATATTGCTATAGTAATTTCTTTTTCTTCATTTATATCTAGGTAAAAGGAGGACATACGTCAGAATTCAATCATATTCTCCTTTATTAGATCTGAAAAAATGGAGTCCCAACCATCAATATTAATAAAATTATTTTTCAAAAATGCATTATGAAATAGAGCAAAGTATCCACTACCGACGTTGAATTATTAAACAAAATTTGGTTAAGAGTACTGTGTTTTTTTATTGTCAATTAAACTAGCGATGTCTTTGAAAAGTTTCAGTATAAAATAATATAGCTGCAGAACTGTTGCTCTCCGAAAAAAAAATATGCATTGACAGACCGGAGAGTTACGTACAGTGCCACCCATTAAAAAAGCTATTTTTATTGCGCACAAAAAAGTGCGCTCGATTCTGAAATAATTCTTCCAGATTATTACTTGCTTGCAAAAAAGCAAGATTTCAAAAAAGTCTTTACTCCTCTATCAATTACTATTGTAGTTTCCATCTGTACGAAGCGCGTTGAACCGAATTATCTTGCAAACTAAAATGGCAGTATAATTAGGCGAAATTTTCGATAATCTCGGTTTTAGAGCCAGGAGGGCTCTTAACGAGGCCTGATCTACTTGATCAATGAAGTTGATCTGCGCATACGTTTTAACGCAGCGTCGACTCTCGCACGTCACAGTACCTTTGACTGCCGTCAGCATTGAATACAAAAACGTCACAATTAAAATGACGTCAAATTGTGCTAAAATGTTTCTCTGATTTTGGAACCTGGTAGCTCTATAGACTGTGCATGGTGAAAGCTGGTATTTCCATTATTTACATGTTTTTTAAAATATTTTTTAACAAACAACTTAACAACTAAACAACTTTCGTTCGACCATAATTTATTTTAAGGTATCAATTTCTTGGAACAGATTCATTAAATTTTATCTTGTTTTATTTCAATTTTTGATTTTAAAAAACACACACACTGCAACCAAAAGTGAATAATTTTAGTCTTTCTCCTTGAACACGTTGAAGTGTTTATACACACACCCTTTTTTATTGAGGACTTAAATATGTATGGATAAGCTTTGGTTTTAAAAAATAAGTCTATGAATCATTTAAATGCAACCCCCGAAATATTTTATTTTTCTCTATATTACATGATATTCGTAAAATTCGTAATTTTGTCGCGTTTACATCCCCCTTTTACGTAAAATAACGTCGCGTGTTAAGAAAGATAAAGCATGGACAAAAAATTATTTTATAATGTAGGAATTATTCATTTTTTAGAAACCATTGCAGTATTGCAATCGTATGTTGATGTTATGTAAACCCATTGCGACTCATAAAATATCTAGTTGCAGAAAATAAATCCTAATTTTGTGTTTTGGTATGCCCCCTTTTCACTGCAATAAAGGCTACCTTCAATTTTCTTTTCATTTTTTATTAGAAGAATGAGAATTGCTTGATATATGTAAAAAAAAAAAATTTCATCATTTTTTCTTTAAATTGTCAACTTCTTTGTTTATTGGAGAGTTTTAGCATGTAATTGTGTATAAAAACATGAAAAATGGTCCATATCTTGACAGTGCCCCCATTTGACTACAATAAAGGCAATGTAACAAAATTTCATTCTAATTTTTCTTAACACAATGCATACAAATATATTTCCAAAAATTAAAATAAAATTTTTTATCATTGCGTTTTCTTGATTTTCAACTAGATCGGGCCTCGTTAAAAACAATTACAAGGAATGTTTTCTTGTGGAAACAATGAAAATATGCTAGGAACACATGGTTAGTAATATTTTGAGATGACAGTTTTAAAAACATGGAGAAATAAAAAACAGCGCACTTTCTTGTGTGCAATAAATATGGAGTTTTTTCTATGGTCGGCACTGTAGCTCTCCGGACTGTCAATATATATTTTTTTCGGAGAGCTACAGTTCTGCAGCTAAAAATAATACAACCTCCTTTTCATGCATATTATAACGTTCCTTCAAATACCCTTTAACCTCATCCTCAAACATGAAAACTCTTAAGGGTAATTAAAAAATACAATTTTAGTATTTTTTTTTTCATCATTGCCTCTGCTAATCGCACATGAAATCTTAAGCATAAATATCATGAACATAGTACCTTCTTTCAAAAATCTAGGACAGAATTCATGTACATAACACTTTTAAGATTCAAGTTTGCTCCTCAGACTGGAAAGAAACCTTGATAAGAAAAAATATATATATATTGTTTTAATATATTCAAGGTGATAAATTCGATCCTTGCTCCTCAATGCCATGTCAAAATGGTGGAGAATGCAAAAGTAACAAAACAAGAACATACACCTGCGCATGTCGACAAGGCTGGACTGGGGAAACCTGCAAAGAAAGAGGTACGTATTTGTTCAAATCTGTAATGATGCTGAATATATATCTGTCACAGTTTCACATTTTGAAAATTCAGTTTTTATATCAAATACAATTAAAAAAGAAATACTTTTGTTTATTTTTTAACCAACAGTTCCTTGGTCATCCTGTAATTCCTCGCCTTGTAAAAATGGCGGGACGTGTATTGAGAGCGAGGACAGCTATACCTGTCAATGTTCTTCGGGATATATTGGTCATATGTGTGAAGTAAACTGTGAGATTTGTTCATATTATATTTGACAATCAACTAAAAAGAATACATGATCATTTTTACATACTAGTAGTATTTAGACAAGGTCATGTTTTTTGTAATCTCCTATCAGTTTATGCTGAATAACTGTGATTTTTTTTATACATTCGCAGTGAAAACTGATCTCTGTGATGTTTCAAATTTTTGGAATCACTATGGAACTCGTTGCTATAAGGTTTTTGATACCAGTCTATCTTGGGAAGATGCTGTGTAAGTTTTTATTCGATTTCAAAATATTTATTTCGATTTTAGTTTACTAAATTCATAATACAACTTCATCATTTATTATCAGATCATGTGTCAAAATAGATACAAAAATTTTACAAATGTAGAGCTCACAAAATTAGAAACATATATTTTACGATTTTTGGATGCCGAATATTTGACCATTGTTAAAAATATATTCTCAAGCAGGGATATCAATATAAAGGGGACACAGCAAAGATAAGACAAAATTGCACTCATTGAAAACAGAAAGGAAATTTTATAAAGTTTTATATGTTAAATAAAAAATTGTTCTAAATGCATAAAATTACGAAGTTTTAACTTAATATCAATTTAAAAATTTCATATTTTATTATTTGAAGAAAAAGGAGCAAAATGGTGTATGACAAGGAAATTAGATAAATTTTTCATTTTCATTTTTTTTCAAAATTAGAAACCCAATGTGTATTTTAAATATTTTGCAAATGTTATATGTGTCATAAATTATTTCAAATAATTGAATGCTATTAAATAAAGAAATTCAAAAATATGAACAAAACCAGGAGGCAACATTCAACAATTTGCGACCCCATATAATGTTATACCATGAGAATTACGACAACAAAGGTAATATGAGGCTTTAAATAGTTTAAAGTTCCTATGTCAGTGGAGGATTATTAAAATTTGAAAAAAATATCATATAAAGGAAGGTAATACTTTTAACCAATCAAAGTTTAAGACAATATGCTTTATAAGCCTTTAAAATATATTTTGTTTCTGTAACTAATGCCAGAATGATTAATTATGAAAAAGGTCTTATATTTCATCAATAGATATTTTTAACATTTTTTAATATATACAAGTGGGCCCTTTAGTGAAGAAAAAGATATGAAAAATTGAGGTAATTTGTTAACATGAAAAGTAGATCATCCACCTAGTTATTTGAAATTGAAATTGAACAAAAGAATTATAGGTGTTCAATGTCTAATAGGTGGTTTTGTCCTCTTATCAGTGGAATTTTTAGTCATCTGAGTAAAGGTATACCTTAAAATATATTTTTTTTCTGTAACTATTTGCCAGAATCTTTAATGATGAAAAAGATCCCCTATTTCATCAATAGATATTTTTAACATACTTCTTTTAATATATACGGACACGTAGGCCCTTTACAAAAAGAAAGATATGCAAATTTCTGAATTTGTTTAATATTTACGAGTTGTACAATTATCTATCATAATCTTATCATTCCAACTTTTCTGTTGTCAGGTGATTTTTTTTTTTTTGGAAAAGTTTTTAATTTATACATGTATTTTCAACACAGGTTTGGGTTGACCAACTTCACAACAACGTGAACTTAACGAAGTTTTACTGGAGTATAGGAGCATCAATAAGGTTGGGTGATTATGCAAGAAATATATAACTAAGTTTTAATTTTTTTCAGAATGTAGTTTTTGTTTATCACCCAGTTTGTTAAAACTACTCGATAAATTGCCTGGCCCAACTAATTGTTGTCCTCATTTTTTAGTCCAACAAACAGGAGTTGTATAATTGTGAAAGAGAAAGAAGGCATCTTGAACTGGATCACTCGAGACTGTAAAGAGGAAAACTTTTTTGCCTGTTCAAGACCTGAGGGTAAATAAAGTTGCCTTTAATTTTCTGATTTGGACAATTAAAATTGGATTATTTGTAAGCTAAATACCAGAAAGCATAATGTGTATAGTACATGTATTTGAAAAATGGTTTTGTTAATTATAATTGACTTCCAACATTATAAATAGAGCATACAAGTATTATTTTATGTATTTCATGTATATTAGGAACATGTCCATCTGGATGGATATTCCATCAGCGCTATTGCTACAAGTATATCAACACTCTGCAAACCTCGTGGTATAATGCCAAGGAATATTGCCAAAATTTACACTCAACCCTACTTGATATTCAAGAGTAATAATATATATAGTTTTTGTTTAAAATCTTATCATTTTAAACCCCAAACAAACACGTGTTTTTATTTTCTCTTATTCATTTTTAAACATATCAATAAAACGTGTACTGTAGACGTACTTTTTTGAATTGGAATCTTAATTTCTGTTTAATATTTTCTGCTTGACTGTCACTATATGCCTTACATTTATATTAAGTACGCTTTGACAAATTTCCGCTGAAAATTTGTGACGGCGTACATAAATTAATACCACGCGGAAAAAGTACATGTACATCTACGGTATTTTGAATGGCATCTAATATTTTCTGCTTTAACTTTGCTACACTTTATGTTTTATATTTGTATCATAACATTTGATATTTTTTTAGAAACAGTGTTTAAACAAATTTTATGAAGTAAGTTTTTATTATTTTACACTTACACTGAATTTGTGTTCCAGTTTCGATAGACAAGTATTTATCCACAATTTTGTCCAAAGACAAGAGGCAGGCATCGAGAATGACAACAGACTTTGGCTTAATCTTAAAAGTATGTATTTTTAAAGCAAATTTTAATATTTTTTTCAGCATTGTTTCATTTCATATTCATATTTTATATTCATTTATCCCTTGTGAAATCTGCATTATCAGAAATATTTGATACAAAAAGGAATTTTTTTGTCCTGTTTACACTTAAATATGTTCCAGAAAATTCTAATGGCCAATGGATATGGGACTCTTTGAATAAACAGCCTGTATATACCAACTGGGCAAATGATACTGAACATTTAAGCTTCGACTGTGCTTACATAGATGCCGGTACAGAATAGTTTTGTATCAAAAGTCAGCATATTTGATCCATACAAACAGGGAACAAAATTAAAAAAATTACTTTTATCTTTATAATTTGATGAAAATTCAGTACATAATTTTCTGTTAAACTTTTTCTATTGTTATAAAATAAAAAGAGAGAAATGGTAAATGGTTTGATACACCATGTACAACATCACTCAGTATCATGTGCTATATGGAAGTTGGCTCATCGAACTGGAAGAAAAATGTGTTGAGAGATGAAACCCAAGGTACACTATATTCAAATAAAATAAATAAATTTGATGGATAAATAACTCGAAGGATATGTAACTCCTATAAACCAGTTACATGTTTGAGCTCTCTTTTGCCACATTCTGCATTTGAGATTGATAATTTTCTTTCTCAAGATATTTAACTTGCATTCACTAGGCTAAAAAGTTGACGACATAAAACTAAAAGAATCTTTAACGTTAATTGCAATTTCAATTAGAAAATTCTTAAGTTAGATAGGCAAGCCATTTATTTGTTCTAATGCTATCAGCAAATTCACCGTAATTTTTAGCTCTACTGGTCAGAGACAGAGATTTTTATATAACTTGGCACACAAGATATAACTTGATATAACAAATAGACTACATTGAGATACATATTTAGTGCATCGGTTTTTAATTTGTATGAACGGTGTTGCCATGGTTACTAAAATAGAAATTTCTGTGAAATTCCTTTAAAATCCTACTCCTCCTACAGTTTAAGTCTGATTTTGATATAACTTGGCACACAAGTAGACACCACTAAGATACATAATTTAGTGCATCGGTTTTGATTTCAGTGAACGGTGTTGCCATGGTCACTTAAAATAGAAATTTCTGTGAAAATTCTATAAAACGCTTCTCCTCCTACAGTTTTGGTTTGATTTTGGTATAACTTGGCACACAAGTAGACTACACTAAGATTCATAATAAAGTGCATCGGTTTTTGATTTGAATGAATGGTGTTGCAATGGTTAATAAAAATAGAAATTTCTGTGAAATTCCTTTAAAATGCTACTCCTCCTACAGTTTTGGTCTGATTTTGATATAACTTGGCACACAAGATATTTCGGTTTTGATTTCAGTGAAATTCACTTAAATTAGAAATTTCTGTGACATTCCTATAAAATGCTCATCCTCCTACAGTTTTGGTCTGATTTTGATATAACTTGGCACACAAGTAGACTACACTAAGATTCATAATGAAGTGCATCGGTTTTTGATTTGAAAACCGTGTTGCCATGGTTACTAAAAGTAGAATTTTCTGTGAAATTCCTTTAAATTGCTACTCCTCCTACAGTTTTGGTCTGCTTTTCATACAACTTTGCACACAAGTGCTCCTTTTCTTTTGTTATACAAACAGACCAGTAGAGCAACAGTCTCATCATGGTTCAAAGTTACAATTATTTCTGATTATAATCCAAAGTAACTTTGTTACCACTAAATATATACAAATTGAAACATGTTACATGTCTTGTAATAATGAACTATGGAGAGAACGATCAAAGGCATTTATGCCTCCAGTTCAATCCAATTCAATGAATAAAATATTTTAAACTAAATGTCTTGGAAGAACATTCTGAGAAAAACAGGTTTTTTTTAGCTCTACTGGTCAGAGACCAGAAGAGCTTATGCGATGGTAAGGTGTCCGTCGTCCGTTCGTCCGTCTGTCTTTTTTAAATTGCTACTCCCCCTACAGTTTTGGTTTGATTTTAATATAACTTGGCACACAAGTAGGCTTCACTAAGATACATAAACCATGCATCGGGTTTTGATTCAATAAACGGTGTTGTCATGGTTACTAAAAATAGGAAATAAAAAAAGTGAAATACCTTTAAAATGATACTCCTCCAACAGTATTGGTTCAATTTCAATATAACTTGGCACACAAGTAGATTACACTAAGGTACATAATTTAGTGCATCTGTTTTTGTTTTCAATGAACCGTGTTGTCATGGTTACTAAACATAGAAATTTACATGAAATTCCTTTAAAACGCTACTTTTGGTCTGATTCCAATATAATTTGGCACACAAGTAGACTACAGAAGATAAATAATTCTATTCATTGCTGCCTGTTGCAAAATTTCGAATCCAAGCTCTACTTTTCCTTTTAAATACTTACAGACCAGTAGAGCTAGTGACTGAGCTACAGTCTTATCAGTGACTTCTGGTTGCTGTAAATGATAAATTATTTTTATATATTTTCACATTTCTGAATGTTTCTTTGTGATATTCGTCGAACCATAGGTTAATTGATTTTTTGATAATCTGTATCTGAATGCAGCTCGCGTCGCTTGGCGAAGACTGTTGAGATAAACATGGAAAGTGTTGTGTATTTTAAATTTGTAAATTTATGTTGTCAATTTTATATCAAATATACAAATGTAAATAAAGGGAATCACTGTCTATTTTGATATGCCAGGGACATCACAGACTGTTGGATTGTGGGATAGTTTATGATGGGCTTTGTCCATTATGCAAACTAAAAAAAAATTATGTCGGAAATGAAATTTCGAAAAATATTTGAAAATGATTTTTTTAATTGCTTACTGGCTAATTGAATTACTTACTGATTTTATCCGATGTTGTTAACTCTTTAAAGATTTAATGGTGAAAAAAGAGTTCCGCGATTGAATTAAATAATATTTCCTTACATTTACAATGTATTTATAATTTTATGAGGGTTTATAGTTAAAGAAAAATATGAAGAATAAGTTTGATTTGTTTTTGCGTAGAGGTAACAAATACATTACATATTTTCTTTTAATTTATCCATAGACTTTTCTTTTATTCAAATATTATAAATAAAAACTTTAAAATGGAAAATTAAAAACAAACATACCTAGAAATAATTGTCAAATCATATGTAATATGCTAACATGTATACTAGTATGCCAAAAAGATGAACATGGACAATAAATCCTGTCAAATATATTATCTTCCTATTTGTGTAAATATAGGAAGGACAGTCGTGTCAGAGTGCGGAGAAGGATGGAGAGACGCACCCAACAGTGACTCCTGTTATATGTTTAAAAAGGAAACGGTGACCTGGTCAGCGGCGGAGGACGCATGTGTCAAAATGGGTGCTCATTTAATCAGTATTGACAATGCTCATGAACAGGGATACATCACAGGTAGAATTTCATTATGAATTTCCTTTTTAACGTATGGTGAATGTTTTTCTCGCAGAAGAAAATAACATAATTGAATCTACGTTGTCTTTTCTTCTTCATAATGAAAAAAACTCAGTTAATTCTGAAACTAACACAAGAAACGAAAAATGCTTATTTTGGTTCATGTTAAATAACATATACACATGTATTTTCAAAAAATTTATTAAACGATATTCACAGTTTTATTCTAATCTAAAAATACTTTGAAGTTCTTAATTTTCAACTTTAGGATTTCTTCAGTCCTCTGCTGTATATAGCACGGTGTGGATTGGAGCAAACTCGCGCTCTCGACAGAAGGGATTCACCTGGAGCAGTGGTCTCCCCTTTGTCTTCTACAACTGGTTTCCTGGTAAATTTACAAACATCTTTTATATCGTTATTTCATATTAAATTAGAGGAATGCAAATAGAGACAAAAGTGATTTTTTTTTTCATTTACAGGGCAACCTGATGGACAGAATTTTGGATCTGAGGAATGTGTCTCTATTTTTTCTATTAATGGGAAATGGTCAGATGTTTCATGTGGTCAAAGACATTACTTCATCTGCGAGAAAATGCGTATGCACTATCCTCAACTGATAATATTTCCTTACCCTACTATATCTTTCTAATCAGTTTTCTTTCTAATATTTTTTTTTTCATTTAAGTTAGGCTTATTAAGGATAATAATCGGCTTATTTCTTATTTATATATACACGATATATTCTTGATATTATGTATATTTCTTTATCGCAAAATATTCTATTTTTACAGCTTTTGAATATAATTATCCTGATGTTTTTGAAGTCGTTGGAAATCACCTTTTTAATGTTGAACATTACTTCTTCAAGGATTATTATTTTTTATGTTTTGTCTAGGTCCATCGAGAGTTAACACGACTTCTACCATAACTCCTACAACTGATGGTACTTTTTCATTCTTTTCAAATTGCTTTAGATTATTGTGTTTCTACTAAGGTTTTTTAACTTCTCTTTAAATATTAAAGCAATAAGAAGATATTGTATTCCTCTAGGATATGGAAAATTTTGTCCAGATGGTTGGAAGTCATACAGGGATCATTGTTTCTTGATTGAAAGAAAGAAAATGTCATGGAATGAGGCAAGCCGGCTCTGTAGACGCAGAGATAGTTACCTGGCAACCATTGCTGACCAAGACGAGCAAAATTTCATATTTAGTCAACTACCCTCTGGTATGAGAAGGCATCATTTAAATGATACATGTAGCACTACAAAGAATAATACTTTTATGTTTTTTTTCAAATATGATAGCATGTAAAGTATTTCTTTTTCCTTGGAATTGGAAGTACAGGTATATATTTTATTTAATAGTATGTAAATGTTTTATTCGAAATTCGAATATTTCTAGGCCAGTTAATATTCCTTCAAGTTAGTTGCTTTTTAATTAGAACTGCGATCTTTGTTTTTTCAGACTATTGTTTTAATTTCCACCCTAACGACACGCTTTGCTCAGAGTTGGCAGCTATGGGTAAATGTACAGATGACTTGTTATACATGATGAAACAATGTCCTGCTGCATGTAAGCAATGCAGCAAGAATTGTTCTAACTCGTTAAGTACTGAACACTGCCAATCTTATGCAGCCATAAATGGCTGTGAAAACAATCCAGAATGGATGTTACAACACTGTAGAAAAACATGTGGAGCTTGTAATGCAGGTAAATTTTAAACACTTCGAGTCTTAAAGTATGCATATACATATAAAGTACTATTTGAAGAGTAATTTAAACATTGATCGGAAGAATACAAAAGAAAAAAAAACTCGGTTGGACAGTTATTTTTAGGTCACCTGAGTAACTCAGGTGACCTATTGCTATTCGTTTTCAGTAATCGTCGTGTTTTTGTGTGTTAACATTTGAACATTTTCAGCTTCTTCTCTGAAACCACTGAACCAATTTCAACCAAATTTAATATACAACATCTATGGGTGAAAGGAAACAAAAATTGTGAATTTTATGGACCCTGCCCCCCTGGGGCCAAAACCACTAAAATTATTGCAATCTTTAATAATCTTCTTCTTTACTCCTGGAGATCAAGCAGGCAAACTGTTGGCATGAATGTAATGAGCAATCTACCAAAATTGTTGATTCTAGTGCTAGGGTGGGGTTATATAGATAATATAGTAAAAATGCATGATTTCTTTGAAAATCTTATTCTCTGCTTCTGGGTAGTAAGTAGTTATGATGAGCAAGAGTGTCTCTTCCAAAATTGTGAATTTTGTGGCCCCAGGGTCAGGGGTTCTGGTGTTAGGGCGGGGCCCTATTGATCATATAGTGAAAATGCATTAATTCTTTGAAAACCTCCTTCTCTGCTCCAGGGTATTAAATAAACTATGTAAGTACATAATTATGTTGAACAAGAGTGCCTCTTTCAAAGTTGTGAATTTTATGGCACAGGGTCAGGGGTTCTGGTGTTAAGGCGGGGCTCTATTGATCATATTGTGAAAATGCATTAATTCTTTGAGAATCTTCTTCTCTGTTTCTGGGTATTAAATAAACATATGTTGTAATAGTTATTAAAAGAGTGCCTCTTCCATGTAAATTGTGAATTTTTGGAATCTTAAATTGGGATAAAATATGAGTATATAGACCCTAAAAACAGTTGAAATATAGGGCGGGGCTCTATTGATTATATAGTGAAGATACATTAATTCTTTGAAAATGTTTCCTTTGCTCCTTAGTTTTATGCCAATGATTCAAGAATATATATTTATGATGAAAAAAAGGTGCATCTAGCAAAATGGTTATTCCCCCCCTCCTGGGTCAGGGGTTGGGGGTATATAGTCTGAAAATAAATTAATGCTTTGAAATCTGCTCTTTAGTATGAATCAACCATTTTATGATAAAATTTGCAAAATTTTGAAATATGTGGCCCCAGGGTCAGTGGTTCCTTTGGGATGATGTGCACAACTGGTTATAAAGTGGAAGTGCATTTCCTTTTTGTTACTCTGATCTACCTTTTGGTATTAAGTAAATAGAGTAAGCAAGCTAAGTCTATAATTATGATAAGCAATGGTGCCTCTTTTCAAATTGTGAATTGCGAATTGCATGGCCTCTGGTTTAAAACACGAACCAAATTTAATTATTTGAAAGTTGTTACACAATACTCAAGTGACCTATAAGGCCCATGGACCTCTTGTTTTCAGCTCACCTGAGCCGAAGGCTCAAGTGAGCTATTTGTCAAAATTTTTTTTGTTGTTGTCGTTGTTGTCGTCAACAAACTTTTCACATTTTCATCTTCTTCTCAAGAACCACTGGGCCAATTTCAACCAAACTTGCAACAAAGTATCCATTCAAGTTTGTTATGAAGGGCCAAGCCCTTTTCCAAGGGGAGATAATTCGTGTGAAAAATTAATGGCATGTTTTAAAAATCTTCTTAAAGAGTAGGCCAGGAAAGATGAAACTCATGTGGAAGCATCCTCTATTAGTGTAGATTCAATTTTGTTCAAATCATGACCCTCGGGGGTAGGGTGGGGCCACAATGAGGGGTCAAATTTTAACATAGGAATACATAAGGAATATCTTTAAAAATCTTCTTCTCAAGAACCACTGGGCCAGGAAAGATGAAACTCATGTGGAATCATCCTCAGGTAGTGTAGTCTCAAGTTTCTTCAAATCATGACCCACGGGGGTAGGATGGGGCCACAATGGGGGGTCAAAGTTTAACATAGAAATACATAAGGAATATCTTTAAAAATCTTCTTCTCAAGAACCATTGGGCCAGGGAAGATGAAACTCATGTGGAATCATCTTCAGGTAGGATAGATTCAAGTTTGTTCAATTAATGACCCCGGGGGGTTGAGTAGGGCCAAAATGGCCAATCAAAGTTTTACATAGGAATATATAGGAAAAATCTTTAAAAATCTTCTTCTCAAGAACCACTCGGCCAGGAAAGATGAAACTCATATGAAATCATCCTCAGTTAGTGTTGATTTAGGTTTATTCAAATCATAACCCCCGGGGGTAGGGTGGTGCCAAAATGGCCGATCAAAGTTTTTCATAAGAATATATAGGAAAAATCTTCTTCTCAAGAACCATTGAGACAAGAAAGATGAAACTCTTGTGGAATCACCCCCAGGTAGTGTAGTTTCAAGTTTCTTCAAATCATGACCCCTGGGGGTACGGTGGGGCCAAATGCTCGATAAAAGTTTTAAATAGGAATATATAAGGAAACCTTTTAAAATCTTCTTTTCAAGTACTTCAAAGCCATGCTTAGTGATATATATAGGGAATCATACTCAGGTGTAATAAATTAACATCATGACCCCCTTCATTAGCCCCCCCCCCTCCCTACCCTCAGTAAACTTTCAGTTCAGATCTGATACGTGCTTTTTTTCTAGCCAATTGCTCAGGTGAGCGATGTGGCCCCTGGGCATGTTGTTATGTTTTTTTTACTTCTTTTATTGATCATGTATCTTCATTAAATATGATACCTTTTTAGTAATTTTCCAGTAAATCACTCTTTTATGACAAATCTTTATTTCAAAACTAATTGGCAAAACCAATGCAGAAGTAGAAATTAATTTGATTAAGTCATGATTGATTCATAACGCCTCTGAGAACCACAACCTGAAATAAGACATCTAAAGAATAAATTGTTATAATTGTAAAATGAACCTACTTTTTTGTGGAACAAATCCAGCTGAAGTAAGAGTATAGCCAAACTATTGGGGATTGAAAAAGTAAAACATGTTTCTATCAAACAAATCTTTGTTTTACATTGTTTGCCTTAAAAAGAACATGATGTTAAAGTACACATGATGTTAAATTAAAAACCACTCATTTAAAGTATATTTGGAATCTTAAGTTGGGATAACCTTGAATTAGACCCTAAAAACAGTTGAAATATAATTAGATTGTGAAAGAATACTTTCATCCTATATTTAATTAATTTACAGTTATTACCAGGGGATTCTGGATTGGTCTTAAAGACATAAAAGGTCACCTGTTTGCATGGGAAAACCATGAAAAGGTTTCCTTTACATTATGGAGAAAATCAGAACCTCAGGGATATCTTAACTATCAAGAAGGTTGCACAGCAATGACTTACAATGTAGGTATACTGTGTTGCTTTCAATAGATGTTAAATTGTACATTGAATTTTATGTCTACGGTACTTGAAATTATGCTCCATTTCTTAAAACATGTTGTCAATTATATTCATTTTTTCCCTTTAGGATGGATTATGGTTTGATCAGAAATGCAACATGATAATGCCAGGTTTAATTTGTAAAGCTGAAAAACAAGAGGAGGGGTTTACAGTGTCAACCGGGTGCGATAGGGTATTGGAAATTATTCTAAAATTGAACGTTTTCTTTATAATCGTTTTTGTCTTGTCCTATTAGTTTGCTGTTGATTATTTTTACCGTTTCTTGGGCATGACCATTTTCCTAAAAAAGATTCTGGTTTTGCATTTCCTTTAAGTAAGCAAAACATATTTATAAATGTTTTCCGCTGGAATCTTTGATATTTAAACTTTCAAAAAGCCAAGAAAATTAAACCAGTTTACCTACCTATACCTACCTACCTACCTAGGCCTTGTTATGCCCGCGGGAACATAGGGCAAGGACTGGATTTCACTACTTCTCTCTGTCTTTGTAGTCCCTCATTTCCTTTTCAACAGTCCTACGCCAGTTTAAAGGAAATATATCCCTCTGGAATCTAGCAAAATACCTTGTTGGAATACCACTGCAGGATGTTTAGACCGGCCCTTTGGATAAGATCGTTTAAACTGAGGTCCCGTGCCGTAGTAGGTCGTGGCAAAATGAATCCTTCACTGCTCAAATATCCTATGTTTCAATTAGATGTCTTAATTTGAAGCCGTCCAATGGCAACTAGTGGCCTCGCAATGTGAGTAAATTTTTTTCAAAGGGACGTTAATCAAACAAACAAAACAAAGCAAAAGACAGTCGTCAAATTTTATTCAACAACAACAACTACAACAACAACAACAATAATAATAATAATAATAATTACTACTATTATTATTATCATTGGCGGACATTTCAGTTTCAACAAACATCATGATAGCAATAAATAGACGGCATGCTTCAAATATAGTATGAAACAGGATATGAAGAACGAACAATTTATTATGTCCTATTAATGACGTCCCTTTGTCTTATTCGTAAAGAGACAGTGTATTTTGAAACTCTACATGGACACATATAATTAAATAATTTCATTATTTGAACTCAATTAATTGTCTTGTTATTATTTTCTATATATAAGATAAGTGAACAAGTCTTTTGTTCGGTTTTTCACAAAAAGAGGAGTTTTTGTGATTTCATGATTGCTAGACGTAAAATCTAAAAAAAAAAAAGATTAAAAACTGTTGCTTGCATATTATATTGTTATTGGTCACATCAAATGAGATCAGAGTTCATAATGTTTATTAGTAACTGTTAAACAACGTCCTTTTGTAAAAGAAATCTCTACATTAGTGTTGTTCTTATACTTTAGGATTACGTAAGCTACACATCAATGTGTTACAAATTCAGAAATGATGTGTTAACATGGAGTGAAGCCCAGTCAAAATGTGAAGAAGAAAATGGACATCTTGCCACTGTTAATAATGTGTAAGTATTTCAAAACTGTGACTTGTTCGACACGTACACATACCGCATATACGATAGAAAAAAATCTTTTTTTTTTAATTTTTAATTTTAGATATGTTCAAGCATTTTTATCAAGTCAGCTGATTAGAAAGACTGGGAACTTTTGGATAGGATATAAGGAAACAAGGTCTAACGATACCTTAGAGATGTGGAATAGCGGTCACCTGATCAAATTTCGGTTTGGGGATAAACTAGGTAAAAGAAAGTTTAACAGCAAATATTAACGGTTGACAAAAACGCTTTAATTCTGCAAAGACTCAACTAGTTATGAATTTCTAGTATTTATACAACAGTTATTAAAAGAAAGGAGAAAGAAAAAGACGGGGAGACAGTTTTCTTCGCTAATTCTTCGAATCCCTCGATCAAAATCTAGTACTTGCTTTTACAGATTTTTCTTCCATCGAATTGTCAGAAGCATGTGCCACAATGACGACATCAGTGCCTGCCGGGATATGGTCATTTAAAAACTGCACTACAAGACATAATTTCATATGCGAGAAACTCCGAAATGGATACACAACGACTACACTTCCTGTACCGACAACTCCTCCACTACAGTGTCAAAACGGGTGGACAACCATTAACGATTTTTGTTATATGGTATAACTAAAGGTCTTGACACACAATTTTTTATCAAGTACATGCAAATATTTACAAATTCAAGAATTTAAAGAAGAAAACCAAAGGTCGCATTCTTTATTATTATGATAATTTGGAGAGAATATAATTGTTTTCCATGAATCGCGCGATCTCAGTAGGAAAAGACAGCAATTCATGATTTGATAGAAAGGATTCTTTTTTGGGATGGAGGGTTGGGGTGCGGTATTTTGAGTATAAATTTAGGAAGAATGCTAATGAATCTTTTTTAAACAATGTTCTCAGTTCCTTTTAAAGTGTTATGTTCCAAACAAATAAAAATAATTAATTTTGCATTGTCTAATATTATTTTATTTGTAATGATTGGGTGAGATGTTGCAAATTTTATACAGAATACAGTTTATTCACAAGAATGGTGTTTGTTATTTTCAATTTTGAAAAAGTTTTTGCGAATAAACAATTTGATACACAAAGCTATGTTAATTGAAAAGATAAACGTGTTGCTTAAGGCAATATGAGCTGCATGCTTGACATCAGAAAAAAAATGTCGCAATTTTTTGATAAATTATTTCAAAGACAGAAAAATAGAACTTTATAAACTCCTGTTGTTCATATTTGCTAAGGAAGAACTTGATTGAAGCAAAACGTAATTATTGTCGTCCTATATAATAATGATTTCTTATATAATACTGTATATTCGGTTGTACAAAAATATTTCTTCTGACACATTTTAAAACTTCATTTTGGTCTTATTGATCATAAGGTAAATAGCGGTTTATCATATAACACATTTAACCAAGCATTATAAAATTCCGAAAATTCATATTGCTTTAAATTATATATAATTATAGGTTATTCAAGAAAGATCGCCTGGACACAACTAATAAAGTGATTTTGTTATTTTTTTAAAATCTTCTTTCAATTATCTGTGTAAATAGGTATATCATATTAATAAATCGTCATTATCCTTCCTATTGAAAAGAAATAGAAATGCATGGCAAACTAATAAAGTGATTTTGTTATTTTTCATTCATTTTCATGAATTATTAAAAATCATATAACGAGTGAAAAAAGAATGGAGGCGTACAAAAGCGAAGACAATACTCGCTCTGGGAAAAGACATTTCCCAATTTTAAAAGTTCATGAAAGCTATATTTTTAAAAATTATATGGTTTATATCATCTTTTACACATTTAATTCTGTATTTCATTGTTTTAATATTTAATCAATAAATTATTTTTCACTCATGTTTTTAAAATATGTGAAAACCAGAAAGTAATGCTTCACGTATGATTCTGACTCTCTCCATAGCGCAGGGTTTTGCGCAAGACCCACCGCGTTAACCACTACGCTACAAAGCATATGCATTATCAGTGTCTGTCAGCATTATTTAAATGAACGGGTTTATTGAAGCTTTATTTTTTTCCAGAAATGTTCGATTTTCATATAGAATGGGTTCAGATTCCATGTTTTGAACAAATAAAATAGATTTCACATTTACGTTTCCATCATTTTAGCTTTAAGGTAGGATTCTTCTCATATATCATGTACAGTATTTAAAAATCTATGAAATTTTCAAAGAATCAAGAAAAAAATTCACTAAGTGATAGTATAAGTGAGAATAACTTTGACCGCTTTATATTAGAGGCAAGGTTGGGTCCAGGTCATAACCTTTCCCTTGAACATTAAGAATAAAAAATTACTGTTGCAAATCATGCAATCCGTTCTTGTATTTTTTAAAAGATTGGATGTTTTTCTTTTTGCATAAAAGGATACTACCATATAGAGCCTATAAGATAATACTACCAAACTGACATAAATAATTTAACTAAAATGGATATTGGCTAGTCCGAATTTTCTTAAAAGCTTACATAGTACTAGTTTGTTTGAAAAATCATAATTATTTGATATTTTTTGAAACTTTAATCCCTTAGTATTGATTTAACTTACATTTGAAAATTTCTTCAAGTCTTTGATTGTGTAAAAATTATAGCTAAATTATTGTTTTATACAAATTTTGAGAGGCAGAAAAGAAGGTATTTTCATACGCCAACATTCCGCCAAAAATATAGTCCCTGCTAGTTTTCAAACGCAGTTTACCATTTCTATTAAAAGTTGTACAATCGTGATGAGGAAAGAAAAATATAGTCTTTTAAATCTCTTACACCAAAATATAGAAGGCATATAAGCAAATATACCTTGAATATTTCATCAGGTCGGAAACCAGAGAAGAATCCTACCTTAACGGAGAATGGAGACGTTACCCATTCATCCTTTTTAAAATCTCATTTTTATGGCTCTAGTAAACCCATTTTCCACTGAAAATGCTTAACTGTCAACTTTAAAATAAAGATTGTCAAATGATAAGTCGTTCTGTAAAATTGATTGATTGATTGTATATTGTTTTAGGTCCCTCGCGAGAATTTTTCACTCATATGGAGACGTCACCACTTGGCGGTGAAGAGCTGCAAATTTTGTCCCATACTCGGCACTTAGGACCATTGAGCAGTGAAGGGTATTTTCGTGCCAGCACCTACTGCGACAAGGGACCTCGGTTTATACTGTCTCATCCGAAGGACCGGTCTCCACGTCCCACAGTGGGATTCCAACCCGCGACGTAAGGATAACCTCCTTACTTCGCGACTCTAGAGCAGACGCTCTCACCACTGCGCCACGCGGGCGACTATCGTTCAGTAAAATAAAATATTATAAAATGTTTTGAAGATATGACATTACTGAAAACATGATTTTAGAAAATATAAATTTTCCGTAAGTTTTGAAAATTGAGAAACATATTATCTCAAATCGTGGAATTGTCCACGCCTTGTACGCCCTCTTTCTTTCATTAATTCCCTCGCATTACGTATACAGCCTTGAAATTCTCCGTAGTGTGGAGTTCATCAGCGCCTTCAACTTGTTCATTGGAATATTGTTCGGCCTTCCAACAAGACAGTCTTCGGTTGTTCGAAGCCACGCGAAGCCTTTAATCTTCACCGTTTGGTGTTCTATTTGAAAAGTAGAGACTTAACGGTAGCCAGCCGATTTGATTTGTGTAAATGTTTGAAAGAGAGACTTTACAAAATATTGTCTCACTGGATTTCTTTCATTTTTGGGTTGTGTGTACCCATTGTTAACTTTACTACTATCGGTTTCAATGGTAATGACGTGGCGATTACACATTTTGCAAAATAGAAAGCCGGGTCTTAATAGATTGGGCGTTGTACCACGACAACATCACCGTCTTTTTTGTTTAATAATCATTCTACTTACTCTATGACGACGGATAAATATATTCTAAAATTGTTGGAAAAAATTTATAGCGAACCGTTGATAAATATTTTGTAGGCTTTTTCTTCACTTAGGTAATTCAATTAATTCACCCACTGGGAATTTCGCAAGCGGTGTCATGACAGCAAAGAAATCATTTGGAAAAAAAAAACGATGTGTGTACCCCAGTGCATGAAGTTGTACTGCAAAAGTAATGTCGAACCTGTCATAATTTGTGCACTTTTTGTAAGCTTATATATATATAACATTAAGTGACGGCAATTTAGTGCACAATTACCAAGATACATGTGCAACTCTGTCAAGTTTTCATAATTTTGGGCAAATGCGTTTCTTTTGTATTTTAGTTGGTATTTTTTAGCTCACCTGAACCAAAGGTTCAAGTGAGTTCTGATGATCACAATTTGTCCGTCGTCTATCAGTCTATCTGTCTGTCTATCCGTCTGTTTGTAAACTTTTCACATTTTCGACTTCTTCTCCAGAACTAATTTTTAGCTCACCTGAGCCGAAGGCTCAAGTGAGCTTTTCTGATCAAAATTTGTTCGTTGTCTTCGTTGTTGTTGTCGTTGTCGTTGTTGTAAACTTTTCACATTTTCATCTTCTTCTCAAGAACCACTGGGCCGATTTCAACCAAACTTGGCACAAAGTATCCTTTGGTGAAGGCGATTCAAGTTTGTTCAAATGAAGGGCCACGCCCTTTTCCAAGGGGAGATAATCATAAATTTGTTAAAAATTAATGGCATTTTAAAAAAATCTTCTTCTCCAGAACCGCTGGGCCAGGAAAGATGAAACTCATGTGAAAGCATCCTCAGGTAGTGTAGATTCAAGTTTGTTCAAATCATGACCCCCGGGGCAAGGGTGGGGCCAAAATGGCCGACCCAAGTTTTACATAGGAATATATAGGAAAAATCTTTAAAAATCTTCTTCTCCAGAACCACTGGGCCAGAAAAGATGAAACTCATGTGGAATCATCCTCAGGTAGTGTAGATTCAAGTTTGTTCAAATCATGACCCCCGGGGCAAGGGTGGGGCCAAAATGGCCGACCCAAATTTTACATATGAATATATAGGAAAAATCTTTAAAAATCTTCTTCTCCAGAACCACTAGGCCAGGAAAGATGAAACTCATGTGGAATCATCCTCAGGTAGTGTAGATTCAAGTTTGTTCAAATCATGACCCCCGGGGCAAGGGTGGGGCCAAAATGGCCGACCCAAGTTTTACATAGGAATATATAGGAAAAATCTTTAAAAATCTTCTTCTCCAGAACCACTGGGCCAGGAAAGATGAAACTCATGTGGAATCATCGTCAGGTAGTGTAGATTCAAATTTGTTCAAATCATGACCCCCGGGGCAAGGGTGGGACCAAAATGGCCGACCCAAATTTTACATAGGAATATATAGGAAAAATCTTTAAAAATCTTCTTCTCCAGAACCACTAGGCCAGAAAAGATGAAACTCATGTGGAATCATCCTCAGGTAGTGTAGATTCAAGTTTGTTCAAATCATGACCCCCGGGGCAAGGGTGGGACCAAAATGGCCGACCCAAGTTTTACATAGGAATATATAGGAAAAATCTTCTTCTCCAGAACCGATGGGCCAGGAAAGATGAAACTCATGTGGAATCATCCTCAGGTAGTGTAGATTCAAGTTTGTTCAAATCATGACCCCCGGGGCAAGGGTGGGGCCAAAATGGCCGACCCAAGTTTTACATAGGAATATATAGGAAATATCTTTAAAAATCCTTCTGAAGATCCACTGGGCCAGGAAAGATGAAACTCATGTGGAATCATCCTCAGGTAGTGTAGATTCAAGTTTGTTCAAGTCATAACCCCCGTGGCTAGGGTGGGGCCAAAATGGCCAACCCAAGTTTTACATAGGGATATATAGGGAAACCTTTTAAAATCTTCTTTTCAAGTACTTTAAAGCTATGTTTAGTGATATTTATATGGAATCATCCTCAGGTAGTGTAGATTCTAGTTTGTTCAAATGATGAACGCCTGGAGGGGGGGAGTAAATTCAAGCCCATGTGCTCAGGTGAGCGATGTGGCCCCTGGGCCTCTTGTTATCAAACTTTGTACAAAGTATCCTTGGGTGAATGGGAGTTTAGAGTGTTAAAATGAAGGGCTAAGTTTAATACCCACAAGGGGAGATAATAAAGAAAAGACAAAAAAGGGTGGGGTAATTAAAAAATCTTCTCAAGAACCACTGGACCAGAAAAACTGAAACTTGTGTGGAAACATCCTGGGGAAGTGTAAATTATAAATTGTTCAAACAATGACCACCGGGGTAGGGCGGGGTACCAAAAGAAAATCCAAGTTTTACATGTTATATACTGACACGCAAAAGAAACGCAACAAGCAGTAATCTACAAATGTTTGATTTTTTTATCTTATGATTTTTTAAAAGCGAATAAAGTAAAGCTAAACTCACTTTTCAGATCATCAGAGATTTGATAAAAATGTTAAATGTTTATCTGTTTACTTTAATAAGTAAAATATGACTGTTAAAACACCCCCCTCCAAGCCACTCAAGTAAAACGTGCAAGACTGTCCTAAACAACAATTGCAGTTTAATTTCTACGATACAATAGGTTTATTAAAATCGAGATCTGAGCGAAGGAATTATTCTTTGGCATCTTTAAATGCTCGTTTTTCAGATGATTAGGTCGAATTTTCTCTAACTTAGAGCAGTGTAGCCACTCTTGGACTTCCGGTACAAGGACTGTCCTTAATGCATATAATACGTAAGACCCTGTTGAGACTTAATGTAGTGAAATTTTGCATCAGCAACTCTCCATCACCTTTACATTGAAATTTTCCAGCTAGCGCAATGGAAATGCGTAAATAAGCCATTTTCAAGTAGCCTTAGCAACATTACGGGAAACGAAAGGAGAGTTTATTTTTTGAAATATTGCTGCATTACTTATGATGAACAGTAAAAAACCCTAAAAACTCCATAATATTGCCAAATGTTTTGTTAAACATGCAATTTTTGATTTCTGTTAAGCAGACTCAAACTTGACTTCCGGTTATGGTATGGAAATCATTCAACCGTTAAATTACCAATGTTTACCTAATTGAAGATATTCATGATTTTAAGATACAAAATTCTTTACTTTACATTATTATTTCTTTCTAAAGTAGGGTGTTGCGTTGCAGTATATATAGGAAAAATCTTTTGAAAGCGTGGAAGTCCTGGGAAAGTATTTTAAAGGCACCATGATATATAGATATATAGGAAAAATCTTTAAACATCTTCTGAAGAACTACTGGGTCAGAAAAACTTAAACTTATGTGGAAGGGGGGGCATGAGGGGGGGGGGGGCTGATACAGAACAACATGACCAAATTTACTCAGGTTAGCGATGTGGCCCGTAAGCCTCTTGTTTTTCATTCAGACTTTGACGATTGAGAAAGATACATAGTACATAAAACAGTTTGTTTCATACTTCCAAACATAGCAGATATTTGAAGCAACAACATCTGTACTTTGTCCTTGCTTACCATGAAATTCCATAATAAGAATATTCTACTTTAAGGCCGTAATTTACGATAACTTCTGCATTAGATGTATCTTTATTATAAAATATATGTTTTTTTTTCTCAGGCTTACGGAGGAAAATTTCTGGATTGGGCTAAATGACAGGGAAAAAGAGGGAGGTATTCATTAATAAAATTTTTCCTAAAAGTTTATATGTAAAATTTTAAATATTTGCAAAGGAATAAAATTCAATTTTCGATAACAAAAGAAAAGTTAATTAATACTTTAGATTGGCAATGGTCAGATGGAACACCCTTAGATTACAAAAAATGGCTGACTAATCAACCAGATAATTGGCAGGGTTATGAGAACTGCGCCACATACCGACGAACAAACAGAGGGTTTAACGATGTCATATGTTCTGGTAAACGTCCATTCATATGCAAAGCAGAAAAAGGTAAGTGTTTACTATTTCTAACATGGTCAGAATATTTTTAGCTCACCTGAGCCGAAGGCTCAAGTGAGCTTTTCTGATCAAAATTTGTCCGTTGTCTGTCGTCGTCGTTCTCGTTGTTGTCGTCGTAAACTTTTCACATTTTCATCTTCTTCTCAAGAACCACTGCGCCAATTTCAACCAAACTTGGCACAAAGTATCCTTGGGTGAAGAGAATTCAAGTTTGTTCAAATGAAGGGCCACGCCCTTTTCCAAGGGGAGATAATCATGAATTTGTTAAAAATTAATGGCATTTTTAAAAAATCTTCTCCAGAACCGCTGGGCCAGGAAAGATAAAACTCATGTGAAAGCATCCTCAGGTAGTGTAGATTTAAGTTTGTTCAAATCATATATGGGGCCAAAATGGCCGACCCAAGTTTTACATAGGAATATATAGGAAAAATCTTTAAAAATCTTCTCCAGAACCACTGGGCCAGGAAAAATGAAACTCATGTGGAATCATCCTCAGGTAGTGTAGATTCAAGTTTGTTCAAATCATGACCCCCGGGGCAAGGGTGGGACCAAAATGGCCGACCCAAGTTTTACATAGGAATATATAGGACTTTAAAAATCTTGTTCTCCAGAACCACTGGGCCAGGAAAGATGAAACTCATGTGGAATCATCCTCAGGTAATGTAGATTCAAGTTTCTTCAAATCATGACCCCTGGGGCAAGGGTGGGGCCAAAATGGCCGACCCAAGTTTTACATAGGAATATATAGGAAAAATCTTTAAAAATCTTCTTCTCCAGAACCACTGGGCCAGGAAAGATGAAACTCATGTGGAATCATCGTCAGGCAGTGTAGATTCAAATTTGTTCAAATCATGCCCCCCGGGGCAAGGTTGGGGCCAAAATGGCCGACCCAAGTTTTACATAGGGATATATAGGGAAACCTTTTAAAATCTTTTCAAGTACTTCAAAGCTATGATTAGTGGGGCCTCTGGGGGGGGGGGGGGGAGTAAATTCAAGCCTGATGTGCTCAGGTGAGCGCTGTGGCCCCTGGGCCTCTTGTTTATTTATCCAAGGTTGCTCAAAGCACAATGTTCTCGTACTTATAACTCATAGATTCCTGAACTTTGTTTTGCAGACTTTATGCCTTGCATAGTTCAATACTTTTATAAGGATCGGGGATAGGGTAATTGAAATAAGTAATTGCATGTAATTAACTGTAATTAAATACAGTTTTAAAGTTTTAAATCTAATTGAAAGTATTTGTAATTAAGTTTACTTTCGATGAAAAATTATTAAAGGTATTTAAATATATTCCAAAAATGTCACATATTTTTCAAGTAAAATTTTTTTTAAAGTGTCTTAAAATTGATGTATACCAGTACTATTTAGCATTAGCTTGTGTTTATTCATTAATGCTTAACAATGTTTATACAGCATAACACACTGCCAAAAACAATGGGAAAAATAAAATTTAATTATATTGCTGCTTCAAAATATTCTCGTATACGTTTTACAAATTTGATGGAAAGAAAACTTAAGTAATTGATATTATATAAATAGTATTGTGTTTTGCGTGCACTATGCCTAAATAGTAGTCAGGATTAGACACATGGTGCACGAGCCGGAGGCGAGTTCACTATGTGTCAAACCCTGACTACTATTTAGGCTAAAAAACTTCTATGACGTCACTCATTGTTATAAGTATAGGTATATTTTACCGATTGAACCAGCAGTAGTTGGATGTTTAAAGATGCAACTGGCCATCATTTGGATATTTCAAATATCCAACTGCCTATCGGTTGGATATTTCAAATATCCAACCGAGGTGCATAAAACAGTAAACAATGAACAAAGGAGATAAAACAGTTTTTAAATATGTTTCCAATGCACATGAAAAATAACAATCAATCCAAATTTGCCACACTATTACAATTAATTTCCTGTGCAAATGGAATTACCGCAATTACTTCATATTTATCGTGTTTCAAATGCACTTCCAATGCTCACAGAAATAAGAATTCATCCGAATTTTGCACACATTTAAAAATGTTTTCAGTCTTTTTGACCATTTTTGACGCTTTCCCACACATAAATTTATTTTCACCTTAATTGTTAAAGAATATCACTTCTTATTGCTGTATATTATTTCTGGGTCCGTATTAATGTAAATTATAAATAAATTTATTGACGAATCTTGTAGATTTTAAATTGTTATATTTCTGAACAAATATCTCACTTGTATCTCTTTTGTATTTATATCTCAATGTACTACATGTATTTTAATTGCATGACATATAGTTATATTTAAGGAGAGGAACTCGTAAGTTGTAAGAACTTGTTTCCAATCCTTTTGTTTATACAATAAAATATGTTCAAAACAAAACAATGTAAATTCCTTCAGATTATCCGAGATTCATCTCTGTTTCATAATTTTCCGGCGCACTTCTCAAACCAACTTAATTAATTGGCAGCCCATCCATTTTTCGACACCGTTATTATTGAAGATCCTGATATGGGATGTTTTTTAAGCAGGTTCCGCATAACACCACCAATCTTTTTATCTGTTTAAGCATTACTTTAAGTATTGTCCGAATGGAACTCCATAAGAACCCAACACTTTTCCTCAGCAAACCATCATCTCATAATATGTAATGACAAATTCCCAACTTTTTATCAAAATTCTATAGTTTTCTTCAGCTTTCAGGTCAAACGTATTGAAAATACCATCTGAACCTCTCTCATTTACTTTGGATTTAAAAATACAATGTACTCTTTGTCTGATTTTATGACTGTTCAGTACAACGAAAAGGGTTGAAATGACATCAGCACCGTGTAGTATCATGCTCACTAGTCCATGAATAAAAGAGGTGTTCGATTAGGCTATTGTTTTGTGTCACAGTTGGATACTCAGTATTTAAATGGGCTAAATTCTATTGTATTACAGCAAAGTTGGATATTTGAATAGGTAAATGTTTCTTTGGGACCCAAAGTAGGGAATTTTTTAAGTAAGATAAATAACTCGATAGTGTTTCATAGTTTAGAGAAAACATCCCCTCCTCGGGCCTTCGGCCCTCGGAGATAATGTTTGCTCTAAACTATTCAAAACCATCTCGTTATTTATCCCTTACATAGTGCACGCAAAACACAACACTGTTGTTATTATAATGCTGACTGTTGTTACTGTTTAAAACAGAAATATTTTCTCCATTCCCCATGTTTCATCACCTGTTTCATTCGTCTACTCTATTATGACGTCACCTTATGTAACATGTACGTCATAGTCTTTTTCTTTAAGGTAGGTCACTTGTCAGTTTTTTGGAAAAATTCACGCAGAACCTCTTACTTCAAAACTATTTATCAAAATTCAATTTTTAAAACATATCTAATTTCAACAATGTTAATGTTTTAACATTCAACCAAAAAAAAAACTGCTCAAAAAGCTACAAATAAGCAAGATTAGTGAGGGACTATTTTTTGAGTTGGAAGGATGTTTAGCAGATAATTCGGCAAATCTGCACATTTATTAAATTTAATATCTTGGACTTTTAGTCTCACATACTTTTACTCGGAGAATATTTTTCATTATGATATTGCTAGGAATATTTGATTAAGGTCTTAATTTATATTTTTAGAACACGTTTTACACCTTCCTTCAAAAAACTTTGCCAAAAAATGAAGATATGTCAAATAAGTCAATATAAATTAACCCCATTTTTGCCTGAAAATCACATAGGGCCTATTTTGACCAATATTTCAAAATTAACATCAATGACCCCAACTTTTTCTTTCATTATCTTAAAGTACTCGATGTATGTCACTGATCAGCACTTAAATTGTAAAAAGCTTGATTTAAGAAAATGTTTTATTGCCTATTTAGTTTTTTAATTAATACCCCAAAATATGTTACTTTTTAGTGCAAAAAGGTCACACAATAATTTAAGCGCATTAATTTGCAAGATTTTTTTTTCAATGATAAATATTATTCAAAAATTTTTACGTGAAATAATATAATAGTTTTTGCCATGGTTACATCTGATAAAATATAATAAAGGTTTAAGTAATTAACCAGAGTTAAAATTTAAGAGGCAGTCCACCGAAAAACCAGGCAGTATTGTATTAATAGGCGGCACATCGAATGTGATGAATATTTGGTATTTTATTAAAAACAATATCAATGTAGTCCCAAAGGAATAATGTAACTGAAGATTTGTTTGAAAATTGCTTATTTAGTAAAATATCCTTGTGTTTTGTGTTTTTGAATTCCCTTATATAAACCATTGAAAGTAGGTAAGAAACAAAAAGTTGTAATTTCTAATACAATTTTAACAGGACTATAATTCACACTTAAATAAATCTAGAAATATTTCATTTTTTGTTTAAAAAATAAAATCATTGGGAAAAACACTTTTAATAGAAGTTTTCTGGCAAAATATATAGACGTTTTCATGAAAATTTGCGATGCAAGAGTTATCTCCCGTGGCATCGGTAAATCTGCTAAACACATCGGAATTCTAGTGAAATATTTAGAATCGATACACTAAAGAAAATTATTAAACAAAAAATAAAAAAATTATTTTCAAAATATAATTCATTTTCGTCTCCAGACGTAATATTTAGATTAAAATTGGCTATAATATTCAGGTTAAATCTACGTTTCCATTGATGTATCAGTGACATAATATTGCATCACAATGAAATAGAAATGATATAGCAAGTTTTCCAGAGAAGTTCGTAAATTCTTTGCGTGAAGTGTAAAGAAAAATATTTTAAAAAAATGATTTCTCTTTTTCTGTTTAATTACTCTTTAGAGTGCATTTTACTAAATGTTAAAGCATATTTTAATATCAAAATGTATTTTACAAAGTACACGGGCGGTGTCTCGGCAAAATGACGTTTTGATAAGTTATTTTATACATGTCCGATAACTATTTTTTTTAAATTGATTTACCAGGATATACGTTAAAATAATTAATGAAGTCTTTATAATGAACATTTCTTATAAAATTGGGAAT